GTGCTCATATACAGAAATATTATCATTGTTAAAATGTCCATACTACCCAAAACAATTTACATATTCAATGCAATCCTGATCAAAATACCAATGGCATTTTTCACAAAACTAGAACAAATAATCTTGAAGTTTATTTGGAACCAGAAAAGACCCTAAATATCCAAAGCTATCTTGAAAAAACAGAAATACCAAAGTTGGAGGTATCACACTACCTGATATCAAACTATACTATAAGGTTACTATAATAATAAAAAATAACATAGTATGGACATAAAAGACAAAAATCAAGGGAACAGAATAGAGACCCAAGAAAAGAACCCATGCCTATATGGTCAATTAATCTGTTACAAAGGAGGCAAGAATATACAATGGGGAAAGATAGTCTCTTCAATAAATGATATTGGGAAAACGTGACAGATACACGCAAAAGAATGAAATTAGACCACTCTCATAAACCACCTACAAGATGTATTAAAGACTTAAATGTAAGACTTGGGACCATAAACTTGCAGTAAACCCTTTGACTTTGCTCTTAGTGATATTCCTTTGGATATGTCTCCTCAGGCAAAGAGAACAAAAGGAAAAATAAAGAAATAGGACTACATCAAACTAAGCAGGTTCTGCATGAAGGGAACCATCAACAAAATGAAAAGGTAATCTACTGAATGGAAGAAAATATTTGCTAATGATACATCCAATAAGGGGTTAATAGCCAAAATACATAAGGAACTTACACACACACACACACACACACACACACACAAATCCTATCTAATAAAAGAGTAATATGCAAATTGACTGTACCTCAGCTACACCACAAGCCACACCCACCAGCCAATCAGGAGCGAATATCCAAATAAACCCAACCAAGATGGCTGCAACCATAGAGAGCAGGAGGAAGGTTTGGGTTTCCCTGGCAATGGACGATGCCAAGCTTTCCTTGCCGGCCTAGGCCTCCACTCTAGGCTACAAAATTTCAATGATAGAAAATAAATAAATCCAAACAGAAGTGGTGTCAGCCACAGAGCTGGAAAGAGCAGGAGGCTAGGGTTACCCCCAGCAATGGAGGAAGCCAAGCTTCAGAAGCCCTGGCTTGCCTTGGCCTCTGCATAAGGCTACAAAGTTTCAATTATAGAAGATACATAAACCCTAACAGAAATAGCTGCCTCCATGGAGCAAGCAGGAGGCTTGGCTCCACTGCAGACTACAAAGTTTCAATTGTAGGAGATAAATAAACCCCAGATACCAGGGCCTCTGCTTGGATTGCCAGGGGGCGTGGCCAGCCTGCAAACCATCACAAGTCCCTTGCCCATGCTGCCCCACACCCCAATGGAATCCCACCCTAATCTGGGACACCCTTCAAGGCATACCAGCTGGCCCCCACCTGTGCAGCAGGCCCCCACCTGTGCAGCAGGCCTCTATCCTATCTAATAAAAGAGTAATATGCAAATTGACCATCACTCCAACACACAAGAAGGCTACCCCCATGTGGTCAAAGAGCCTGCCCCCATGTGGACACAAGATGGCCAGCACAAGATGGCCAGTAGGGAGGGCAGTTGGGAGGGACCAGGCCTGCAAGGAAGGGCAGTTGTGGGTGATCAAACCTGCAGGGGAGGGCAGCTAGGGGTAACCAGGCTGACAGAGGAGAGAAGTTGGGGGTGACCAGGCCAGCAGGGAAGGGCAATTCGGGGGGAACTCAGGCCTGCAGTGGAGAGCAGTTGGGGGGACCAGGCCTGCAGGGGAGGGTAGTTAGGGGTGACCAGGCCTGCAGGGGAGCGCAGTTAGGGGTGACCAGGCCTGCTAGGGAGGGAAGTTAGGGGCAAACAGGCTGGCAGGGGAGCAGTTAGGAATCAATCAGGCTGGCAGGGGAGTGGTTAGAGGATGATCAGGCTGGCAGGCAGAAGCAGTTAGGAGCAATCAGGAAGGCAGGGAACCGAGTAGTTGGGAGCCAGCAGTTCTGGATTGTGAGAGGGATGTCTGACTGCCCAAGAGTTCCCAGATTGGAGAGGGTGCAGGCTGGGCTGAGGAACACCCCCTCACCCCACTGTGCATGAATTTTGTGCACCAGGCCTCTAGTCTGATTAATAAATGGACAGCAGACCTGAATAAACATATCTCTAAAAGGACAATATGAAAGATGCTCAACATCATTAATCATTAGGGAAATGAAAATTAAAATCACAATGAGCTATCACCTTACACTTGTCAGAATGGCTATCATTAATAAATCTACAAATAACAAGTGTTGGTGAGGATGTGGAGGAAAGGGAACCCTCATGCATTGCTAGTGGGATTGTAAATTGGTACAACCACTATGGAAAACAGTATGGAGGTTCCTCAAAAAATTTAAAAAATAGAATTATCACATAGCTCAGCAATTTCACTTCTGGCTATTTAGCTGAAAAAAAAAAAAAATCCAAAACACTAATTCAAAAAGCTATATATACCCTTGTATATATAAGGAAGCAACCTAAGTGCCCATAAGAAGCAAAATGAATAAAGATGTGGCACATATATACAATGGAATATTATTTAGCCATAAAAAAGAATGAAATGCTGCCATTTGCAATGACATGGTTGGACCTAGAGGGTATTATGTTAAGTGAAATAAGTCAGAGAAAGACAAATATCAGACAATTTCATTTACATGTGAAATTTAAAAAATAAGCAAAACAAAACAGAAACAAGCTCAAAGATACAAAGAATTGATGGTTGCTAGCCCTAACCAGTGTCACTCAGTGGGATGGGCATCATCCTGTGAACCAGAAGGCTGCTAGTCCAATTCCTGGTTAGGGAATATGCCCCAGGGGCTCATGTTCAACCCCTGGCAGGTGGTATGCAGGAGGTATCCTATCGATGTATCTCTCTCACATCTATGTTTCTCTCTCCCTCTCCCTTCTCTCTCTAAAAATCAATTTTAAAAATCTTGAAAAAAAAAATGATGTTGCCAGATGTGAGGGAAGTTGGAGAAATGGGTAAAAAGAGGGAAGGGACTAAGATGTGCAAATTACCAGTTACAAAAACAGTCATAGAGATAGGTTTATCAAATGAGAGGTGCAAACAAGACAACACAGATTAAGCAAAGTCCTAAAGGGGATGGATAACAAAAAGACAAATGGTGATATCTCTAAAACTATGAATAAGCGAAGATACAAATAACTGGTGTGAAGGTAATTTGAGAATTTATATTTGAGGGATCCTATTTTTCACTGAGCAAGAACAGGTCTGCAGCTGAAGATGAGAAGATGGGATTGTAAATTGGTGCAGCCACTATGGTAAACAGTATGGTGCTGCTTCTTGAGGAGATCCAGTAACACTAAAATTGGTTTGAATTTCTAAGTTCATTTCAAGTGATGGTAGGGAAATACGATTCAGGAACAAAATGAATCCCAGGAGAAGCCAATCTGAGATAAAAGTTGGGAAAACTGCTGATAAGAATTCGAAAGAAAGCAAAGAATAGCCCAGCCAGCATTGACCTATGAACCAGAAGGTCAGAGTTTGATTTCCCCATCAGAGAACATGCCTGGATTATGGACTCCATCCTCTGTGGGGCAATAAGGAGACAGCTAATCAATGATTCTCTCTCATCACTAATGTTTTTATCTCTCTCTCCCTCTTCATTCCTCTCTGAAATCAATAAAAATATATTTTTAAAAAAAGTGAAGAAAAAAATGCATACCAAGTAAAGTTGAACAGTATGAGAATAGAAATAAGTTTTAGACACGGCTGATATGTTTCTCTTAGCCAATATATGTTTCTCTCTCTCCTTCCTTCCTCTTTCTCCAAAATCAATAAAAAACATAAAAAGCCCCAGCTGGTTTGGCTCAGTGGACAGAGCATCAGCCTATGGACTGAAGGGTCCTGGGTTTGATTCCAATCCAGGGCACATGCCTGGGTTGAGGGCTTGGTCCCAATAGGGAGCCTGCAGAAGGCAGCAGATCAATGATTCTCTCTCATCATTGATGTTTCTATGTCTCTTTCTCCCTCTCTAAAATCAATAAAAATATATTTTAATAAAAAAGAGCAAAAGATTAAATAAAAAGAAATAAGCTTTAATGGAGCAAATATGTGTGATTATATGAAATTCTCAGCTAGATTATTCAGGCCAGAGTTTATAAACTGTGAAGGCAAATGATTGGGCTGCTTTGGGGTTGAAGGTTGTTGTGAAGATCATAACAATGATCATAAAATCCCACTGAGTAAGGAAGACAGTGATACCAAAGAATGGATATTTCAAAGGAAGAACTGCATTTAATTACTAAATCAATATGGAATCTGATGAAGAAAAACAAAGAATTAAACAAGATTCCTGATTATCTGTAAAACTGACAGACTAATGATCAAAACAGAGTTCTTGGAGAGAATAGGCTGTAGGGATGATTACCCAAAAATTTATTGTAAGATTTAGATTGAAAAAGCTTTTTAGAACAATCCTATCATTTTGAAAAGGAATAGTAATAAAGTAAGTCCCAGAGATGTTAGGTGACTTTGCTGAAGTCTTAAGACACTAAACAGAGACTAGGACTGACTTTAAACTCCATGCCATTTCTACTACACCACAGAACCACACTAATATCGGGAGCTTGACATGTTGGCAGGAAATACAAATGGTGCTGCTTCTTGAGGAGGTTCAGTAACACAAAAATATGGTTTGAATTTCTAAGTTCATTTCAGGTGATAGTGGGGAAATATGATTCAGGAACAAAATGAATCCCAGGAGAAGCCAATCTGAGATCAAATATTTGCTCTCGTAACCCACATAGAGAGAATCAAGAGTTGGATGTAGAATGATATAAGCACTTCAAATACTCAAATGCAAGCACACCGTATGCTTAAAAATCCTCTCAATGTCATTTGGTAATATAGACAAGACATATAAATTATTATGGCTTTAAACATTAAGAAGAGCTTTGCTTACTTAAGGTTCTTTTTATCTTACACAAATATGAAATACTGAAATCTAATTAAGTCTCTTTTAAGAGACTAGATATTTGCCTTACCTTTACTACCTTGTAGTCACACAAGTATTCCACCTCATAATTGTTTAGATTCCTTTTGGTGATTCCAATCGATTTACATGTGAGCTTTTCTTTTCTACATACTTCCTGAAGAGTATCAAGTGAAACTAGGCAAGGCACACACCAAGCTACAATAAGAAAATAGAACTCTTTACTAATGAAATAGCTACTGAATTAAAACAAAAACAAAAACAAAACAAAAAAAGAAAAAGAAAAGGAAAAACTTAAGATTTCTATATCCCAACCCTTCTACTGGCAACTTTATAGGACTAAAAATTCATATGACAAGAAACCATTTTTGTGTCTTCAAGACAAAGGTAAGCATTAAAGAACTATTTTGGTAAATTGGTCTTCTTGGACTTTTTCATGTCCTACTATGTTTAACTGATGTAAAATAATTTCTACTGAGCCACCTGAACAAAATATTTCAAGCTTTCTTAAGATTACATACAGATGCAAAGGTCAAAAGGGGTAAGGTTTTTTACTCTTTCATTATAGTCTACATAGAATTATTGTTTTAATAAAATGTAAATGGCTAGGGCATTCTTATTGTTAGGAATATATATCAAGATAATCTTATAATTTGTTAAAAAATTTTAAAATTAACCCCCCTCCCCCTTTCTGTTAGTTGGATAAGAAGTGAAATCTAACTGAAATATAGTTCTCTGTGACATGATCATACCATCCTATGTCCTTTTTCCAGTTTGCAATGTTGCATGAAATTTTAACTCCACTTATTTTGCCCTTGCTTCAAAGTTATTATTATTATAATAACATAATGGAAGGTATACTGATTTTTGTCATACTCATTTCCTGTATTGTTTTTTAAAGCCAAGAATTACAAAACAGAGTATTCAATTTACATCAGCCATACACCAAGCTTGAAGAAAATCAGACACCACTCAATCAGTCTTATAGTAGCCAATACCTAATTGTGCTGCAGCAAATTTTACCCTAAAATTTCTGCTCCGATATTGCTAGTAAAATATCTAGTAAAATATGCTAACACAAAGTGATGTTTAGACATCTGTAATAAAGTTGGTTTCATGGCTAGTGTTATGGAAAGCATTAGATAAGATCAAAGGCCCTCTGCCCCAGCCTTTACTAGGTCACTTAGTATATGACTTTAGCGAGATTTTCACTGTTCTGGGTTTCAGATTCATTGAAATAATTCAAGGGTTGGAGTATACTGGGGTTCTGAAACAACATCTATAAGTAAACTCAAGCTTTACTTGGTAGCTCTCCAAGGTAGCTGTGATAACTTTTGTGTTTTGAGGTAGTAACTTAGAGAGACCACAGCTGATTTTGCTTTATCCATTTTTCACCATCCACACACACAGGGACTTCACAGTAAGAAACCCTGAAGCAGGATTTCTATCTCTACCCTACTGTCCCACAAAGGACTCAAAATTTTACATCAAGGAAGTGAAAGACATTGTGTGTGTGTGTGTGTGTGTGTGTGTGTGTGTGTGTGTGTAAGAGAAAGATATTTTAAAAAGCAAAAACGGAGGGGGGCGGGAGAAGAGATTGCTTGCTTTGGGGTGGTGTGGGGGTAGAAAGTAGCAGAATAGTAAAGAACCCTAAATCCTTTCAATATAAAAACCTTCAGGCTGTTTTGTGTAAAGTTAACCTCATTATGCTGACCACATGCAAAAGAGGTCCCTCTAGGATATCTACCCACATGACTTGTCCGCTGTAGATACCATTTTTATCTAGCTGAAGTAAAAAGATTCAAGACACAACCTTCGATGGAAATGCTATTGAGTTAAAAAAAAAAAAAAAAAGCATAAAACACTCCTGTAACAATTTTGATTAATGTAGGAAAAAATTTCATGTGCATGATTAAACATTTCATCGCCAACACACACACACAAAACAATAACAGCTCAATGAATGGTTCACAGTAATCTCTAGTGTTAGAGAATTTGGCGGACAAAGATTTCATAATCTACGTGGAGAGCACTAGTCCTGGAAAACACCTTTAAATTCTAGAATGCAATGAAAGTTCCAGTCTTTCAAGAGCGCACAAGAACACACACGCGCGTTCAGTACCTAATTCTTCGGCGTCCACGCAAACACCACAAGCTCCGGGTGGATATAGGAGGGATTCCAGGCTGGAGGACACATCCTCAAACACCCCCTGACTGCAATCACCTCCGACGGGAATTTAAGCTCCCAGGGAGGCCGAACTGGGATGTATCCTCCTCGCTCACTGCCTTTCTGAGCGGTCACAGTCCTGCCCCAATTTCTCTGTCCCCGGCCACCGAGGTCACACTCACACCTCCGGGCCCTCCCACTTCCCAGTGAAAAGTCAGCCCGGACCCCAATGTGCCGCACCACCCACCACAAAGAAGCCCCTCCGCACGGGCACCCAGGCCCCTGGGAATGAGCGGGAGCGGCGGCGGCCGCCCCAATGCCTCCGCACAGCCGCCGGGAGCGCAGGCCGGGGCGGAGGGGGGACTCCGGGGAACGAGCCGGCCGAGGCGCGAGAGGGGTCAGGGGCCAGGGGCCGGGCCAGGGCGAAGCCCGCGGAGCGCATCTGGGCGCCCAGGTGTGGGCAGGGCGGGAGGCGTCACCGGGCTGGGCCGGGCCCGCGCGCCCCCGCACGCTCCCCGGCTCGGGAGGTGGGGGTGGGAGGGTGGGTTGCCAGCAGAAGGGAGCAGAGTGAGGGGCGCCGCTCTCTAGCCCTCACCTCCTCGCGCCTCGGCCCCGGCCGCCGCCATCTTGAGGACCTTTCATTCAAACTGGCGCGATGGGACCGGAGAGCGCTTCGGCCGGCACCCCGCCCTCGCCCGCCTCGCGCGGTAGTTGGGGGCCGGGCTGAGGGGCTGGAACCCGCGAGGCGTGCTGACGTCACGGAGGCCGACCCCGGCCACGGGGGCGACCGCGCCTGCGCCCCAGGCCGCTTGCCTGCGCGCCGGTGGGCGCCAGGTCCGCGGAGGGGCGGGCCGCATGGGCGGGCGAGCCCCGAGGGCGGCGGCGGGCGGGCGGGGCTACCCGAGGTTGACAGCCGTCAGCCCCTGCACGGCTGTTTATCGCCTGGTCCAGGAACACTGTCAGGCCTTCCATTCGTCTTATTTGTTACATCAGCACTACATGTAAGGTGACCGGACGTCCCGATTCTTAACAATTTGTCCCGCGTCCCGCGGCGTTTTAAAACAGTCCCGATCTTTCCCAGGATTGGGGCTGTTTTATCATAAAACGCCGCGGGACGCGGGACAAATTGTTAAAATCGGGACTGTCCCGCCCAAAGCGGGACGTCTGGTCACCTTACCTACATGTATACTGTGCAAAAATAAAACAAACGGAACTACTTAGCACGTTCCCTTCCCGTGCCTATTCCTCAGCTACCTGTGCCCACTGGCTATTAAGTTTCTTCCCCTGTTACTCAGATCACAGGCTGTCGAATTGGCTGAACCTTGGAATCCCTTTTGGAGGGGTTTTGCTTTCTGGTCCCACTCGCAGAGATTGACTTAATCGATATGGGATGTGACCTGGACATTGGAAAATTTACAGCTCCCTAGGCGATTCTAATGTGCAGCAGTTTGAAACAACCGTCTAGATCAGTAATTCTCACACTTGAATGCGCATAAGTCATCTGGGGATCTTATCCAATGGGAGATCAGGACTGGAGAGCTGAGGTTCTGCGGTTTTGATGAGTTCCCATGTTGTGCCTGATGATGCATCTGGGTTGGTGCTTTGTAGCAAAGCTGCATTGACACCCAGATCCTCTGGGCTTCTACCCCTCCCTACCCAATCCATTCTTTATTTTTTATTTTTTATTTGTTTTAGAGAGGAGAGATAGAAACATCAATCATAAGAAAGAATCATTTATCAGTGCCTCCTGCACGTCCCACAACCTGAGCATGTGTCCTGACTGGGAATCAAACCAATGCCCAACAGGCCACACATCCATTCTTAACATCACAGTAATGGTGATGGTTCTAAACCAGCAATTTTCAACCTTTTTTTTTTTTTTTTTTTTTTTTTAAATCTCAAGGCACACATAATTACTAAAACATGACAAAAAATAGGTATAATTTTGACTCATTCATACTGGAGGGCTATTGTGTTGACTGTTGTCATTTAAAAAAAATATATTTTTTATTGATTTCAGAGAGGAAGGGAGAGGGAGAGAGAGAAACATCAACGATGAGAATCACTAATGGGCTGCCTCCGGCTCCCCTCTCTCCCCTAATGGGGATGAGCCCACGACTGAAATTGAACCCAAGACCCTTCAATCCACAGGCTGAGAGGCTCTATCCACTGAGCCAAACCAGATAGGGCTGTCATTTTTTAATTTGACAATCTAAGGGAAAAGGGGTCAGTATAGAAGAGAAATCTTAGAAGAGTAAACTGCAAAAACTTTGGCAGAAAGCAGTTTGTCATCTACCAAGAATTTTAAAAATACATTTACATAAAAGGTTACAAAATTTTTTCAAAGCATCTGCATAAATTTTAAAATATTTTAAATCAACACAGGACATTAAAGGAATTAATGTTCGTTTCCGTTTTGAAATAGTGTCTAGCCATTTAAAAAATGTTTAGGAAGCCTTTAGTATCATGGGGCTTAATATGGTAAGCAAAACAAGAAAAACCTGCAAAACATACAGTTTTAAGAACATAAGAAAACTGTATAGGAAGATAAATGTGCTAGTAAATTATCTAGAGAGAATTTTTGTCATTTTTTAATTTGACAAGGTAAGGGAAAAGAGGTCAGTGCTTCTGACTAAACAGTAAGGTATTGCATATTTTATTTTTTTTTCCCCCGAAAATCTAGTTTATTTCCATATTGTGACAAATCCAGTCAGTGTGATCAGTTTTTCTGCTCATGTAATAATTTATCAAAATAAAATTTCCCACAACTCTTTTTCTTTTTTTTTTTTTAGGGTTAAATTTATTTATTTATTTATTTTTTTTCAAACAAATCGTCATTTATATTTACAGTATACAGATGCAAAGCTTTAATTTCCCACTAAATCATCACTTTCTTAAAATGGTACATGTGATGTTATGAAATTAGCTATTAAGCATTCGAAATAGTGGAAAAGAGGTCCTTTCTTCAGTCTTTTTTTTTTTTTTTTAATATATATATATATATTTTTTTTTTTTTGCCCCCCCTCCCTCCCTCCCTCACATCCCTTCCCTCCCCAGAGTTTTATGTCCATTGGTTGTACTTATGTGCATGTATAAAAGTCCTTCGGTTGATCTATTATCTCCCCCAGATCTTCCTCCCCTCCCCGCTGTAATTTGACAGTCTGCTTGTTGATATACTGTCTCTATATCTATCTTTTGGTTCATCAGTTTATAATGTTCTTTATTATCCACAAATGAGTGAGGTCATGTGGTGTTTTTCTTTCAATGACTGGCTTATTTCACTTAGCATGATGTTCTCCATTTCCATCCAAGTTGCTGCAAATGATGAGAATTCCTTCTTTTTTATGGCAGCATAGTATTCCATTGTGTAGATGTACCAAAGTTTTTGGATCCAATCATCTGCTGATGGGCACCTAGGCTGTTTCCAAATTCTAGCTATTGTAGATTGTGCTGCTATGAACATAGGGGTGCATATATCCTTTCTGATTGGTGTTTCTAGTTTCTTGGGATATATTCCTAGGAGTGGGATTACTGGGTCAAATGGGAGTTCCATTTTCAGTTTTTTGAGGAAACTCCACACTGTTCTCCACAGTGGTTGCACCAGTCTGCATTCCCACCAGCAGTGCACAAGAGTTCCCTTTTTTCCACAGCCTCGCCAACACATGTCGTTTGTTGATCTGTTGATGTTGGCCATTCTGACAGGTGTGAGATGGTACCGCATTGTTGTTTTGATTTGCATCTCTCGGATAATTAGTGACTTTGAGCATGTTTTCATGTGCCTTTTGGCCTTCCTTCTGTCTTCTTTTGGAAATATTCTATTTAGGTCCATTGCCCATTTTTTAATTGGATCATTCATCTTCCTTTTATTTAGTTGTATAAGCTGTTTGTAGATGTTGGAGATTAAACCTTTATCAGTGGTAACATTTGCAAATATGTTCTCCCACATCGTGGGCTTTCTTGTTGTTTTGTTGATGGTTTCTTTTGCTGTAAGAAAGCTTTTTATTTTGATGTAGTCCCATTTGTTTATTTTCTCTTTAGCTTCCATTGCCCTAGGGGAAGTATCAGTGAAGAAGTTCTTTTGGCATATGTCTGAGATTTTGCTGCCTGCGGATGCTTCTAGTATTTTTTATGGTTTCCCGTCTGATGTTTAAGTCCTGTATCCATTTTGAGTTTACTTTTGTGTATGGTGTAAGTTGGTGATCCAGTTTCATTCTCTTACATGTATCTATCCAATTTTCCCAACACCATTTATTGAAGAGACTGTCTTGACTCCATTGTATATTCGTGCCTCCTTTGTCAAATATTAATTGAGCATAGTGATTTGGGTTGATATCTGGGTTCTCGATTCGATTCCATTGATCTATACGTCTGTTTTTGTGCCAGTACCAGGCTGTTTTGAGAACAGTGGCTTTGTAATACAGTTTGAAGTCTGGTATTGAGATCCCTCCTACTTTACTCTTCTTTCTCAGGATTGCTGTGGCTATTCGGGGTCTTTTATTGTTCCAAATGAACTTTTGGAGAGTTCTTTCTATGTCAGTGAAGTATGCCGTTGGTGTTTTAATGGGGAGTGCATTGAACCTATAGATTGCTTTAGGAAGTATGGACATTTTGATGATGTTGATTCTACCAATCCATGAGCATGGTATGTTCTTCCATCTGTTTTACATCTTCCTCTATCTCTTTTTTCAGTGTCGTGTAGTTTTCCGCATATAGGTCCTTTACTTCCTTAGTTAAATTTATTCCTAGGTATCTTAATTTTTTTGGTGCAATGGTAAATGGAATTGCTTTTTTAGTCTCTGTTTCTATAAATTCGCTGTTGGTGTATAGAAATGCCATAGATTTCTTGGCGTTAATTTTGTATCCTGCTACATTGCCAAATTCATTTATTAAGCCAATTAGTTTTTTAATGGAGTCTTTTGGGTTTTTTATGTACAATATCATGTCGTCTGCAAATAAGGATAGCTTTACTTCTTCTTTTCCAATTTGGATGCCTTTTATTTCCTCCTCTTGTCTAATTGCAATGGCTAGTACTTCCAGTACTATGTCAAAGAGGAGTGGCGAAAGTGGGCATCCCTGTCTTGTTCCTGTTCTTAGAGGGAATGGTTTTAGTTTTTGCCCATTGAGTATGATGTTGGCTGTGGGTTTATCATATATAGCTTTTATTATGTTGAGGTATGATCCTTGTACTCCCACCTTATTGAGAGTTTTTATCAGGAAAGGGTGTTGGATTTTATCAAATGCTTTTTCTGCATCAATTGATATGACTATATGATTTTTATCTTTCAACTTGTTTATGTGATGTATCACGTTTATTGATTTGCGGATATTGTACCATCCTTGCATTCCTGGAATAAATCCTACTTGGTCATGGTGTATGATCTTTGTGATGCTCTGCTGGAGCCGATTTGCTAGAATTTTGTTGAGGATTTTGGCATCTATGTTCATGAGGGATATTGGCCTGTAATTCTCTTTCATTGAGTTGTCTTTATCTGGTTTTGGTATTAGGGTGATGCTGGCTTCATAGAAGGAGTTTGGAAGTGTTCCTTCCTCTTGGATTTTTTGGAATAGTCTAAGGAGGATAGGTTTTATTCTTCCTTGAATGTTTGGTAAAACTCTCCTGTGAAGCCATCTGGCCCTGGGCTTTTGTTTGCTGGAAGCTTTTTGATGACTGTTTCAATTTCTTCCCAAGTCACTGGTCTATTGAGATTTTTAGATTCTTCCTGATTGAGTTTTGGAAGTTTGTATTTTTCTAGGAATATGTCCATTTCCTCCAGGTTGTTCAGTTTGTTGGAATAGAGTTGTTCGAAGTATTTTGTAACAATCCATTGTATTTCGGTGGGGTCTGTTGTTATTTCACCTCTTTCATTTCTGATTTTGTTTATTTGGGTCCTCTCTCTTTGTTTCTTGGTTAGCCTGGATAGGGGTCCATCTATCTTGTTTATTCTTTCAAAGAACCAGCTCTTGGTTTTGTTGATCTTACGTATTGTTTCTTTGGTCTCTATGTCATTTATCTGTGCTCTGATTTTTGTTATTTCCTTCCTTCTGCTTACACTGGGCTTTTCTTGTTGCTCTTTTTCTAACTCTTTGAGTTGTAGAGTTAGATCATTTGTTACCCTTTTTTCTAGTTTTTTGCAATAGGCTTGTAGGGATATGAACTTTCCGCTCTGTGCGCGCAGGCTTTGTTTTCGCAGCGCAGGCTTTGTTTTCGCCGCACCCTCTCCCCGCGAAATCTGACCTTTTCACCGAGCAGTGGGGCACTCCTGTGGGGCCAGGTGTTCGCGCCGCCTGGGATCCTCATTCTGGGGGTCACAGTTGCTTGTTGGTCGCTGCGGCTGATATTCAGGCCTCTGACACGATCCTATCTTCCTCTCAAGATGGCGAGGTTTCCCTATCCAAGCCGGCAGGTAGCTCCGGGCAGGGACGCAACCCGCGTGGGTGCTTCCCTGTGAGGGGTACCTCTGTCAGCAGCCCCCCAGCAGTTTCTTCTGGTGTTCGCTGTCTCCCAGTTTGCTAATAAACACTCACAGCTCAAGACCATCAGTTGCTCTCTCTTTCTGCTTCGGGAGAGGGCTCAGAATCTGCCCATCTATTCTTCCGCCATCTTCCTCCCACAACTCTTTTTCATCAACTCTGAAAATCCTGGTCTGACAACATACCCAAGTAAAGCTCTTGAAAACATCGTCTTAAAATTTGGAAGAAAGTTTAGCAAGTCTTTCCTGTAATAGTTACAGAAGTACATATGGCTAAAGAGCAATTTATGTTTTAAAAAGTGACTAATACAACAGTTGAGCTCATAAAATTAATGTTTTAGTGCACTTTGCTCCAGTTTTAGCCAACATGCTACATTGTCTTTTTTGGGAGTGGGAATGCACAAAGTGGACTTGAGGATTTCCATTGTATGAAGAGATAGGACTCTGCAAGCAAAACAATGTAAGCTGCCTTTTTTCTTAAGAGCCAGACATTTTAGGACAGAAGCTTTGCAAAACATTACACAATTTTTATATTATTAAATGAGACTATCTCATCTGTTACCCTGTCACATTGCTAGTCAGAGAAATGCTGCAGTGATGAAGAGAACCAAAGTCCTCAATTCTATAATACAACATCCACATACAAAGAAAGAATGTTCAATACAGCCTGCACAATATTATTCGTTTTCTTAAAATCAAAGTGCCCCCCAAAATTTTCTGATGGGGCGTTTTACTGCATAAACGATAGTTCTTCATTTTATACTCCACCCCGACTGCATGAGTATGAGCCACACTAAACCTCTGAGGCTGCCAGGACCCTTATATTGTCCTCGTCGTTGTGCCTGGATGTATTGCTGCTGCTGCTTATCTCTATGTCATCATTCTCAATCGTGGGATGAAAACGTGCTGTTTTACCAGGATCCAATCTTGAAGTCACAAATCAGATCATTTTTCCACCAGGTCATTCTTCTGCAACTGTTCCCTAACAACTTAGAATTCTCTCATTTCATCCTCAGTCAAGGGGGCACAGGTTTCATCATTTTCACCGTTTTCATGCCAGCTGATCTCCTTTAACAATCTGCGTTCTCCTTCAAGTGAACTTGAAAGAACATCTGTGGGATTGAAGACCAAATGATCTGTTGGGAAATAACGGAAGCATTGCCATTCTCTTGTGGAATTTCATTTTCATCCAAGTTTTGGTTTATACCTCTAACTTGCTGAGTACTGTTGCTATTATGCAAGTTAAATGAGTCGTCATCCTTCTTGGCTTTCGTTTTTATGCTCCTCTTCCACTCTATCTCTTTTCAATATTTGCAGAAATTCACTCTTCTTATTAGTGTGAATTCATGTCAGTTTGGTTAGAGGAGGCTGGTGATTAAGTTTGTCAACAGTTGAAGAGGAATTTGAGCTATTACACTCTTTCACTGTCATTGCTGGACTAAAATTCTTGACTGTTGATTTAAAAACATTGAAGTTAAAACAACAAGAAAGCCCACTGCATGGGAGAACGTATTTGCCAATGTTATCATGGATAAGAGCTTAATCTCCAACATTTACAGGGAACTCATACAACATAAGAAAAGGAAGATAACCCAATCAAAAAATGGGCAACAGACCTAAATACTTTTCTAAAGAAGACTGAAGGAAGGCCAAGAGACATATAAAAACACTAGAGGTCCAGTGCACGAAATTTGTGCATGGGGGAGTGGAGGGGTGTCCCTCAGCCCAGCTTGCTCCCTCTCCAATCTGGGACCCCCTTGAGGGATGTTCGACTGTCTGTTTAGGCCTGATCCCTGTCCAGGACTGCTGGCTCCCAAATGCTCATCTGCCTGCCTTCCTGATTGCCCTTGACCACTTCTGCCTGCCAGCCTGATCACCCCTAACCACTCCCATGCCAGACTGACTGATGTCTAACTGGTCCCCTGACAGCCTATTTACCCCCAACTTCCCTCCTCTGCCGGCCTGGTCACCCCTAACTGCATGCCCTCGGCCGCCCCCCCCCCCCCCCTCAGGCTTGATCGCCTTCAACTGACCTCCCTTGCTGGCCATTTTGTGGTGTCCATCTTGTGTCCATATGGGGGCAGGATCTTTGATCACATGGGGCCAGCAATCTGTATGTTGGAGTGATGGTCAATCTGCATATTACTCTTTTATAGTTGGATAGAGGCCTGGTGCAGGGTGGGGGCCAGCTGGTTTGCCCTGAAGGGTGTCCTGGATCAGGGTGGGAATTCCCCTAGGGTGAGGGGCGGCCTGGGCGAGGGGCCTGTGGTGATTTGCAGGTCAGCCATGCACCCTGGTAACCCAACTGGAGGCCCTAGTATCTGAAATTTATTTACCTTCTACAATTGAAACTTTGTAGCCTGGAGCAGAGCCAAGCCTCCTGCTTGCTCTGTGGCTGACAGCCATTTCTTTTGGGGTTTGTGTATCTTCTATAATTGAAACTGTGTATCCTTAAGCGGAGGCCTGGCTGGCCAGGGTGTGCGGAAAGCTTTGCTTCTTCCATTGCCGAGGGCATCCCTAGCCTCTCGCTCTTTCCAGCTCCATGGCTGCCACCATTTCTGTTTGAATTTGTTTACCTTCTATCATTGAAACTTGGTAGCCTTGAGTGGAGGCGTAGGCCGGCAAGGGCAGGTGGAAAGCTTAGCTTCCTCCATTGCCTGGGAAACCCAAGCCTCCCTCCTGCTCTCTGTGGCTGTAGCCATCTTGGTTGGGTTTATTTGCATACTTGCTCTGATTGGCTGGTGGGAGCAGCTGGTGGGCATTGCTTGTGGGTGTAGCAGAGTGATGGTTAATTTGCACATTACTATTTTATTAGGTAGAATGCTCAAAGTTACTAATCATCAGAAAGATGCAAATCAAAATGACAATGTGGTACCATCTCACACCTGTCAGAATGGTTATCATCAACAAAGCAACAAACTACAAGTGCTGATGAGGATGTGAAGAAAAAGGAACCCTCGTGCCCTGCTGGTGAGAATGCAGATGGGTGCAGCCACTGTGGAGAACAGTATGGAGTTTCCTCAAAAAACTAGAAATGGAACTCCCATATCACCCAGTGATCCCACTCCTAGGAATATATCCCAAGAAACTAGAAACACGAATCAGAAAGAATATACGCACTTCTATGTTCATACAGCACAATTCACCATAGCTAAGATTTAGAAACAGCCTAAGTGTCCATGAGCAGATGAGAGGATTAAAAAACTGTGGTACAGCTACACAATGGAATACTACACTATGTTAAAAAAAAAAAAAAAATTCTTACCATTTGCAACAGCATGGACAGAAATGGAGAGCATTATGATAAGAGAAATAAGCCCATCAGAGAAAAATAAATATCACATGATCTCACTCATTTGTGGAATATAATGAGCAACCTAAACTGATAAAAACAGATCCAGAGCGAGAGGAGCATCGATCAGACCATCAAACCTCAGAGGGAAGGCAAGCATACACAAACCAAAGGACTTGTATGCTTGCATATAAGCCTAACTAATGGACACAGATAACAGTGGGGAAAGGGCATGAGTGGTGGAGGTACAATAGGGGGGAAGAAGGGGGAAGTTAAGGACACATACGTAAAACCTTAATCAATAAAGAAATTGAAAATTAAAAAAATTCCCAGTAAATAGAGTCAATTCACTCAATTTAATTTTAAACAGCTTCATAATAGAAAGAGTTCCTTATATTTCCTACTATTGATTCATCTTAAATGAAAAACAAAAAAGGTTGCAACATTTATCAATATATTGTGTTTTAATAGAAACAGAGATTACACAGTTCATCCAAAAGTATTTCAATATAAACATCACATATGAACAAAACCAAGTAACTGTTGATATTTTAGTTCTAAAAAATTCATGGTTTTTCTAAAATACTAAGATGCCACCTCAATAGTGATGGCTTCACATTTTCCAGTCTCTTGATCTGTGCATGTTACATGTAAAGATCCATCCCTAAACAAACAAAAATAACATTTCATGAGTTCATTTTTAAAAATGAGATAGTCCTTAAGAAATTAAAAGAAGAGTATGACATAAAGAATAAACAGAACTTCAGTGTCTTTAAATTTAGTATCATATGCTATAATTAGATAGTTATTAAAAATTTTCTATTGTGCTCATTCTCCCAGGAGCACACCTGTGCCTTTGCCTTCGTGCTTTTCTTCCCCCATAGCCTAGCACCTCCTAAACTCAAAGGAATTCCATGAGACGTGCAACCAGGGGAGGAGTGGACAGCGGCAGCTCATTCTGGGGTAACCCCCTGAACCTGTGTCTAAGGGGGCCCTTTTTCTGACTTCCCAGTGAGCTAAATCAACCTAGCCTTGACTCATTTCTTTCCTATAGCATTTTTGGAGTGGCAAAGGTTAGTGTGGGCTTTCCTGTTGATTCTTCTATGCCAAGCCCTTTCTTGTGTCACTGTCCCAACAAACTCTCAATTAAAAAAAAAAAATTCCTTTTAGACCACTGACTACCAAAATTATATTTCCTACAAGCCCACAATGATAAAATCTTTAAGTTCAAAAGTTTATTCAAGCTCAAGACACATCATGCCATTTTTAAGCCCAGGCCATGGTAAACGTACTCTAATAAATATTATACAATATTCTTGTCCCAAATGTTAATTTCCAAATTATTTACTTGCAAGATATAGTGTTAATGTTGTTAGGTAACAGTTGGATTGAGTTAGTAATTTATTTTTTAGAGATTTTCTGTAGCAATGTTGAAATAAACTTATCCTTTCAGGACAAATAATGTGAATTATGTAAACCTTGGAAAATTATACTAGTATTTAAAATTAATAAAAAATATATCCCAATTTGCATGAATCAGTTTTGTGATTGACTACACCCAAAATATTTAGAGTTCATAAAAAATTTAGAATATAAATGACATGAAATATACTTTTTCTTTGTAAAATACAATAATTCTATAGGACAAAAATATAAATCATTAATAAAATACAAGGTATTACTATTATAAATGATTTTCCCAGAATGACTATGGGTGAAGAATCAATAAATTGACAAAAAGAGGCTAGTCTCAAAGTGAATTTTCTTTTTAAGGGGAAAGTATGAATGCAGTCCCCCACTACCACAAATTCTGCAGTCGAGTTTCCCACATTTGGAGACATCTCAGGAGTCAGCACATCCGGAGTGCAATGGATAAGCCTCGCCCTGGGAAAACCACCTTCGTGATCATAGTATCTCCCCTGCCAGGTTAAGTATCAAAGCGAATTTTCTTAACATCAGAAATAATTTAATTTTGTACCTTTTCATAGTTAGAACAGCTAAGATGTCATGTAATCCATTTTCTTTTTTATTTAAATCCTGGAGTATAACCTGTTTATGCAAAAATAACACAAAGATGATTCTGTATTTTGACATATTAATAAACAGATGCATCAGTTAATTCAATGGACCAAATCCTACTTATTACTGAAACAAAACCTTTAAAATAGGACAGTTTTTAATTGTCTTACCAGTTATCAAAATTTAGAGAACAGGATTAAACTTTTTTCATTATGAAATGAAATGTCTCCTATAGGAGAGCATAGAAGATAACTACAGTAACATGTAAATTATATTTTGGCAAGCCTTCTATATATTTAAAAAATATATATGTATTTTATTGATTTTTTACAGAGAGGAAGAGAGAGGGATAGAGAGTTAGGAATATCGAAGAGACAGAAACACCAATCAGCTGCCTCCTGTACATCCCCCCTGGGTATGTGCCCGCAACCAAGGCACATGCCCTTGACTGGAATTGAACCCGGGACCCCTCACTCCACAGGCAGACGTTCCATCCACTAAGCCAAACCAGACAGGGCTACCGTTATACTTTTAAAAAAAATTCAAATGTTTTAAATACACTTGGAAAACCTATTTAAAAGAAACCTGTGGCAAATTATTTTGTACAACTAAGATTGAATTTACAAATTAGAGATACTAATGAATTTACTATAAAATTCCTCAGTTTCCTAGAGAGGTTCACAAAAAAAGCACGTTTGGAAGTAACTTCAGATTTTTTCATTATCAAGTTTTATGACCTTAGACAAGGCACTAGGCATCTTACGTTACTCATTTGTAAGAGGAGCCTCTCCTGCCTCCTTGGCAGTGCTAAAGATGTCTTACTGGCAGATAGACATCACCCAAGAAGATCCTGGACTGTTAGAAGACACAGACCGGGTTGAGGGACTCACCCCCCCTCCCCAAGTGTACGAATTTTCGTGTACCGGGCCTCTAGTGTGTGTGTGTGTGTATCCTTATATAATAATCCTATATAATTAAAGGGTAATATGCAAATTGACCCTAATGGCAGAACGACCAGAATGATTGCTGATCCAGTCACTATGAGGGCCATTGACAACCTCTTGGCTCCCTTTCCCAGCTGGCAGGCTCTAATTGCCTGATGGCCACCTGCTGAGGGATGGGGCCAGTAAGTGGGTGGGACCAGCTGACCTCTCATCCCTTATTCCACCATAAGGCACTGATCACCCAATGGCGAACAGGGAGCCAGGGGTGGGTGGCAGCAGGGAGCGGGGTGGGCTGCAGGCATCTGGGGAAGATGGCTCTGATCATAAGCCAGGCCTAGGGACTGTACCCATATACAAATTTCGTACGTTGAGCCTCTAGTGTGCGCGCGCGCGCGCGTGTGTGTGTATATTATCTCCATATCCTGCGGGCTTGACCTTTGGTAAGGGGTACAGCCAATCAATGATTCTATCTCATCACTGATGTTTCTATCTCTCTACCTCTCCCTTCCTCTATAAAATTAAAAAAAAAATATTTTAAAAAGTACTTCATGATTATGGCCTTTGCTGTTTATAAAAAAAAAATCAAATCAGTATGATATATAGCATATAGGATATATTGAGAGTAGTTACAGAATCTCAGAGAAGTATGTGAAGAGAAAAGGTATTAAATGTATGAGAAAGAAACTAAAGGAATCTCAAGACTGCCACCAAAGGTTGGAAATCTGGTATAAAAAGCTTGCATAGTAATACACAACAAAAACATTTAGACGAGCTTTTGAAGAGTTAACTAGTTGAAGGAGTCCTACACTAGTAGATTTTAAGATTAGGTGGTGTCCAGACATGCTATATAAATATACACATTGCCTTTTGTTACCTACATTTATTTTATTATTACACTAGAGGCCCGGTGCACGAAATTTGGGCATGAGGTTTGTCCCTCAGCCCAGCCTGCACCCTCTCCAATCTGGGACCATTCGAGGGATTTCCAACTGCCCATTTAGGCCCAATCCCTGTAGTATAGGGCCTAAATGGGTAGTCGGATATCCCTTTCACAATCCAGGACTGCTGGCTCCCAACTGCTCGCCTGCCTGCCTTCCTGATTGCCCCTAACCACTTCTGCCTGCCAACCTGATCACTCCCTAAACATTCCCCTGCCATCCTGAATGATGCCTAACTGCTCCCCTGACAGGCTATTTCCCCCTAACTGCCCTCCCCTGCAGGCTTGATCACCCCTGCCTTCCCTTGCAGGCCTGATACTTCCCAATTGCCCTCCCCTGCTGGCCATCTTGTATCCACATGGGGGCAGCCAACTTTGACCACTTGGAGTGTGTTGGAGTGACAGTCCATTGGTATATTGCTCTTTTATTCGATAGGATAGAGGCCTGGTGCATGGGTGGGAGCCAGCTGGTGTTCCCTGAAGTGGGTCCCGGATCAGGGTGGGGGTTCCCTTGGGGGATGGGGAGGCCTGGGCAAGGGACCTATGGTAGTTTGCAGGCTAGCCATATCCTCTGGCGACCCTATCGAGGTCCTGGTTCCTGGGATTTATTTTTCTTCTATAATGAAACTTTGTAGCCTTGAGTGGAGGTCTAGGAGGGCCAGGGTGTGCAGAAAGCTTGGCTTCCTCTATTGCCTGGGGCAACTCCAGCCTCCTGCTCTCTCCAGCTCTGTGGCTGCTGCCATTTTTGTTGGGATTTATTTATCTTCTATAATTGAAACTTTGTTCCCTTGAGTGGAGGCATAGGCCAGCCAAGGTGTGCAGAAAGCTTGGCTTCCTCCATTACTGGGGAAACCCAAGCCTCATGCTTGCTCCATGGCCGCAGCCATCTTGGTTGGGTTAATTTGCATACTCATCCCTGATTGGCTGATGGGCGTGGATTTGGGTGTAGCACTGATGGTTAATTTGCATATTATTCTTTTATTAGATAGGATAAAAGCAATTTATCCCCTAACCGGTTTGGCTCAGTGGATGGAGCACCAGCCTTCGAACTCAAGGGTCCCAGGTTCGATTCCGGTCAAGAGCATGTACCTTAATTTTGGGCACATAACCCAGTAGGGAGTGTGTGCAGGAGGCAGCTGATCGATGTTTCTCTCTCATCAATGTTTCTAGCTCTCTATCCTTCTCCCTCTCTATAAAAAATTAATGAAGTATATTAAAAAATTTAAAAAGTAATTCATGCCTGGCTATTGTGGTTCATTGGTTGAGTGTTGACCTATGAACCAGGAGGTCACAGTTTGATTCCTGATCAGGGCACATGCCCAGGTTGCAGACTTGATCCTTAATAAGGGGCAGAGCCAATCAATGATTCTCTCTCATCACTGATGTTTCTCTCTCTCTACCTTTCCCTTCTTCTATGAAATAAAAAAAATATTTTTAAAAAAGTAATTCATGCTTATATCCTTTGCTATTTATAAAAAAATTCAGTATAAGTGTTAAGTAAAAAAAATCTTCTTGGTATCTTCAAGCCTACCCACTGTTAAAGATCCTGAATATAGTTCAAACACCTAAAGATATTTTTTGTATCCATACCTGGTTATCTAAATACATACACCTACTCAAACACCTCTTCTCTCACATGAATCCTTGCTTTCAATCTTTTTATTACTGATATTCTATTGTAAATATAGTTCTGCCGCCTTGTGTGTACTTTGCCCTTGACTGAGAATTGAGCCCATGATGCTCTAACCACTGACCAAACTGGCCAGGGCTTAATATAACTATATTTCTTGGGTATGTTATAAGCATATAACATGACTCCTCTCACTGTTTTAAAAAGGATACAGAGGACAATATAATATGAAATATGCATGTGGTATTTTTTAAAAAAATATATATTTTATTGATTTTACAGAGAGGAAGAGAGAGAGATAGAGCCAGAAACGTCGATGAGAGAGAAACACTGACCAGGTGCCTCCTGCATACCCCCTACCGGGGATGTGACTGCAACCAACGTACATGCCCCTGACCGGAATCGAACGTACATGCCTGCAGACCGACGCTCTACCACTGAACCAAACTGGTTTCGGGACTCGTGGTATTTTTAAAAGCAAACTTAACCTTTATCAGAGGCAATATAGTATGAAAAAATCTGTATGGCAATAGCATGGGCCCAAGTGTACAACCAACCCGAGGATAAATAAGCTCAATCAAGAAAATAACAAGGTATTTACTACCATCAGGCTGTTTCTTAATCATCTATAAAATGCACATAATAAAGTCTATCTCACAGCATTTTAAGAGTACATTTGTAAAGTGTTTTGTACAGCATCTGGCAGTTAGCAAACAAAAAATGTCACACCTTATTACCAAGAAAGGTCAAGAGCTCAAAGAGAAAGAAAATAAATATAAATTGTATTTTGGTTTTATTTTCTTGTCACTTCTTCAAGTTAAACTTGCCTATTTCTTCTTTCTTACAGAAACGAATAAGTAGAAGTAATCCATTCATCACATTTTATGTTAATTGAGTCTAATCCACAAAGAAAAGCAAAGTTTCATGTGACTAATTTATAATCCAATTTTATGAATTTACCTGTGCAAACTTGTTTTCCTCTTTTGCAGAATTTTTCCCCTCAGACTCATAGAGTTCAAGGCATACTGAAGATATACTTCCAGGGGCTTGTAAAGTGTGTTGTCTTCGAGCTGGCAAAGGAGTCCCTGATGGAAACAGTACTGTGAAACTGTTGGCTCCTGATTCATCAACTCCCTAATAAGCAGGAAAATAATATGCATATCTTTTTTATATTTATTGTTATAATTATAAAAAAATTCCTATTAAAAATGTAATATATATTTCTTGCTTATAATTGTTGCAAACTACAGATAGAGAAAATAAAAATGATCCTTAATCCTAACCCACTTTTTTTATTAAAAAAAAAATAATTTATTGATTTTTTACAGAGAGGAAGGGAGAGGGATAGTTAGAAACATCGATGGGAGAGAAACATCGATCAGCTGCCTCCTGCATACCCCCCACCGGGGATGTACCTGCAGCCAAGGTACACACCCTTGACCGGAATCGAACCTGGACCCTTCAGTCTGCAGGCCGACGCTCTATCCAATAAGCCAAACTGGTTAGGGCCTAACCCACTTTAAAAATAAATTGAAACATCTCTACCTGTATTAGAAATTTATTATTAAAATTAGTTAATATATATAGCCCTGGTTGATGTGACTCAATTGACTGGAGGATTGTTCTGTGCAACAGGTCTCGTATTAAATTCCCAGGGCACATACCTAGGTTGCGGGTTTGATCCCAGTTGGAGCACATATAGGAGGCAACCAATCAGCGTAGTTCTGTCACACTGATGTTTGTTTCTCTCTTTCCTTTTCTCCCTCCCAAAAATCAATAAAAACAGAATATAAAAAACTCACTAAAAGTAAAATTATAAATATAAATTTAAAAAATATACCACTAAACAAAGTTTTATTGTAAAAACATGGTATGCATGCCCTAGCCAGTTTGGTTCAGGGGATAGAGCTTCAGCCTGCAGACTTAAGAGTCCTGGGTTCGATTTCAGTCAAGGGTGCATACCTTGGTTGCAAGCTCCTCCCCAGCCTGGGCCCTGGTCAGGGCGCGTGCAGGAGGCAACCAATTGATATACTTCTTTCATAGTGATCTTTCCCTCTATCTTTCCCTGTCTCTTACTCTCTCTCTAAAAATCAATGGAAAAATATCCTCAGATGAGGACTAATAAAAAACAAACAAACAAAACAACATGGTTTGTGTGAAAACTATGGCATCAAATTTATACCACTTTCATGAAAAAAAAAAGTGAACATACCTTAACTAAAATATCTTTGGCTGAACACTCTATCTTAAGAGAGTCTTCCACTAAAATGTTTTCTTTCCCAATAAGAATTCCTGCTTCTATAGCTGCACCAATGGGGATAACTTCATCAGGAGGGATAGAATTTAGAAGCTCAACAGCTGGGAAAAGATCTTTAATCAATTGCTGTAGCCTTGGAATTCGAGAAGACCCTCCACAAAGGACAACCTAAAAAAAAAAAAAAAAAAAAAAAGATTTCAGTTTTTTACTTACAGAAAAATATTTTTTATTGTTTAAATTATTACACATAAGGGTGGGGATAAAAGGGAGAGATCAACCAAAGGTCTATTCATACATATGAGCCTAACCAGTGATCGAGGACAATAGAGGGGTGGGAGCATGAGTGGGGAGGTGGGAGAGTGGAATGGGAAGTTGAGGGCAAATATGTGATACCTTAATCAATAAAGAAATTAAAAATAAATAATTACACATAGTAGTACATATATCTCCTCCCTTCCCCCCATTCTTTCCCAGCCTTCTCTAACCCCCACTGCATGACCTCACCCGACCCCCCCCTCCAGGGTTGTGTCCATTTGTTGTGCTTATATGCATACATATGTCCTTCAGTTGATCTCTTTATCCCCTCCCCAACTCTCCCCAGCCTTCCGACTATAATTCGACCATCTCTTCCATGCTTTACTGCCTCTATATATCTTTTTGTTCATTGGGTTAGTTTTCTTTATTTTCCATAAATGAGTAAGATCATGTGGTATTTTTCTTTCATTGCCTGGCTTATTTTACTTATTTCACTTATTGCCAGTTTCATCCATGCTGCTGCAAATGAAAATTGCTTTTTCCCCCCTCAAGATTAAATATTATATGCTGATCCATATTAACCACATGTAATGATAAAGTATAAATCATATTTTTAGCATTATTTTGTTATACTTACCATATCTTACTAATACACAAATATGTAAATTTACTGTACTTCCGCAACACCCACAGCCAATTAGGAGTGTGTATGCAAATTAATTCAATGAAGATCGAGGGCCTATGGGAAGTGCACTTGTATAGAGCAGCCAGAGGCAGGGTGGGATGCTGGCATCGTTGCCAGGGCAATGAGATCTGATGATTTGCCCTCTGTATCTGCCTCTCAGGGGTGCGCCTGCACCAGCGGCAATTGCACACAGTTCCAACCACTGAGGAGCGGTCAGACCCCAGGGCCACCGTCTCTACCAAGAACCAGGAGGCTGCTGCCCTGAGGCTCAGGTGAGAGTACAGCTCTGCCTCCTGCTTTTCAGACCCACCAGGACACAGGAGTAGAGCCTGGCCTTCACTGTCTCTCTGGAAGCAGCCCTCTGGGGCAGTCAGCGGGCTGGAGATCATGCCTGGAGCTCCGCACCTTCTGGTGGGCAGGGGTCCTCCTCTCCCCAATCCCCTCCTTTCTACCAGGGGCCTCACTGGGCACTTAACTTTTCTTGTTAAACAAGGGAATTCTGGACAATGATTGTCCGACCTCTATGAACCCAGTGTGAGGGACCAGGGAGTGACTATGCACAAGCACACACCTTTCTTCCTGCGGAAGATGGACAGCTGCTCAGAGAACTCTGTGGAACAAGAGGGATATGCTGAGCAGTTCTTGGGATGACCGCCTGAGATAAAGGGTATCTTTCTGTCACAGGTGCTCCCAGCCAACCCCACTGACACCTCCAAGGGCAAACTACAACATAGAAACCGCAACACAGGACCAGACCTGCATTTCCTCACCATCGAGCTCTTTGAAAAACTAAGGAAGAGGCTTCCAACTGCTATCACCCACGGGTCTTCCATGTTCCATTCACCCAAATCTATGACAGCATGCCTCCATCACTGCGAGCTTAAGGGGCTGTGATGGAAGAAGGCACCATGACTGCTCCGGGGATGCAACAGTGGGGCGACTCAGGGTACAGAGAACTGGCCACATTCCCAGTGCTGGGATCTGGTTACTGTTCCTTCCCCATAGCTATGCACAGCCCCAATGGGCACTACACTGCTGGGCAGCACGGAGCAGATGCATGAAACCCCCCAGTGCAGGAACAAGCCAGTCTCAGGCAGCTGGTCATGAACTGGCCACTATAGGGATGGCCCTGCTGGCTGTCCCCACACTCAATTGCCTGTCAAGGTCCTGATCCTATGGTTTGGTTCACTCCTCTTCCTTCCCAGGCCTCTCTAGAGACCCGAACTTGTATATATAAAATCATTGGAAGAAAGAATGATTCAAAAATTTCCAAATTTAGCAAAATTCAGTAAAAATATAAACCTACAGATCAAGAAAGCTCAGTGAATAGCAAGCACAGGACATAAAGAAAGCTACATCAAGACACATAAAAATCACATTGCTCAACACCAATGATGAAAAGAAAAATCTTTTAAGTAGTAGTCAGAAGAAAAGAGACACACAATACATAGGAATAAAAATAAGAATTACAAAAGATTTCTCATCAGAAACAGTGTAAGAATTGTTTTTTAATTTAATAAATCTTTATTGTTCAGATTATTACAATTGTTTCTCCTTTTCCCCCCCATAGTTCTCCTTCACCCAGGTCCCTCCCCACCCTCTGCCCTTACTTCCCCCACACTGTTCCTCATCCATAGATGTACGATTTTTAAAAAATAAATATATTTTATTGATTTCTTACAGAGAGGAAGGGAGAGGGACAGAGAGCCAGAAACGTCGATGAGAAAGAAATATCGACCAGCTGCACTTGCATACCCCCTACTGGGGATGTGCCCGCAACCAAGGTACATGCCCTTGACCTTTCTCTTTCAAGTAGTGATTCTAGCAAAATTCAGTAAAAATATAGTAGTGAATTTAGCAAAATTCAGTAAAAATACCTTTCAGTCCGCAGACCACTGAGCCAAACTGGTTTCGGCAGATGTACGATTTTTGTCCAATCTCTTCCTATCCCCCCACACAGACACCACTTCCCCCCTGAGAATTATCAATTCATTCCCATTCTATGCCCCTGATTCTATTATATTCACCAGTTTATTCTGTTCCTCAGATTTTAATTCACTTGACTTTTAGATTAAAAAAAAAAAAAAAAAGAGATGTTCACTGAATCAGGAGAGTAATGCAAGAGAATTTCAGCAAAGGTGTAGGAAATATAGAGTTCCAAATAGAGCTAAAGATGATAATTTTTTAACTGAAAAATTCAGAGGGTTTCAATAGTACACTAGATCAAGCAAAAGAAAGGATCAGTAAACTCAAAGATAGGGCAAGGAAGTCATCCATTCATAGGAGCAATTGTAATAATCTGAACAATGAAGATTTTAAAAAAATTCTATATTGTTTAAAGTATTACTTATGTCTCCTTTTTCCCCCATTGACCTCTGCCTAGCCACTTACATCCCTTCAATGAACATCGAGTCCACACGGGCAGTCGGACATGCCTAGAGAGGTCCCAGATTGGAGGTATAATCCACTAAGATTAGGGGCTCATTTGCTACTGTCACTACTAGAAAGAGACAACTCTATATTTTTAAGTTATCAAAGGCCTATGTTTTAGAAATACCTGAAAAGTAAATCTTTAATAACATTTGGAACCTAATAATGTGTTCGATTTCTATTCAAGCAATTGAAAATTGTACCATTTGTGATATCTTATAATAATTACCTGTGTTATTTATCACCCTCCTAATTAAAAGAGACAAATTAAGACTCATGAAATATGTTATTTGCCCACTCTGGAACTATTAACACTATGAGCCTTTGATTCAGATGGGTCTGTCTCCATGCCCATTCATTTCCCACCACCACCTTGTTACTATTATATATTCAGGTCTTATTCTTCAGAATCCAGCCCCTAGCCTCCAAGCACCTAGCATAATATAAATGTTCAAAAAAATTACTGAATTGCAAAGAAAAATTTTAAAGATGACTTGCATGATATAGCATACACTAAAACAGTTAAAATAGAAAATTTTTCCAACTATAAACAAATTAAAGAAATAATATTAAATATTTGTTATATATCTAAACAAAGATGGAATTTATAAACTTAGAAGCAGTTGAAGAAATCACAGTAATAGACCAATAGATTTAAATAGATAAATAAATGAAACTTCTATATATTAAATACCCTTCTCTCCAATGGAACCAAAATTAAACAATATACTACATGCCTCAAAAGAAGACTGCAGCAAGTAAGTTAATACTGTGATTATATAAAGCAGGCAAAGAAGATGAAATTTATATTTATACACTAGAAAATACAAAATCAAATAAAATTGATCCTTGATTTAATTATATGGGAATCTATTCTAAGGAATAATCCAAATATGGTAAAAGCCGAGGGTCAAATGTGGACATCCTTAAAAATAAATAAATAAATAAAATAAATAAATAGCAAAACAAACAAAAAACCCACAAAAGTAGACATCCTTGTTCTGAGGGAAGCAGAAATCCAATTTAGGTGTCCACAATAGAACAACAAAATCATCTATTGTGCCTTTTCTTTCCTAGGATATTAATAATCTATTTAAAATTGATTTTAAGACTATGCAAAAATATAGGGAAAAATCAGTGTAATATTAAATGAAGAAAATAAAATTCAGAATTATACAAATTAAATTAGAGATATTCTAAAATATAACAGTTTGCCTTTTAGTATTTTCTGAGTTTTCTTAATATGAATACTTACTATTTTAATAATTAAAATAAAAAATTTACATAACTTTACTAATTTTTAAAATATATTCTTATTAACTTTTTAAAGTTTAATGCATGTAAAACACTTAGAAATAGGGCTTCACACAGAGCAAACATTCAAATACTATCAATCACTGCTTAGAATTAAACAATATCCTGAGAGGAATTATTCTCTTTTGTTAAGAAACTGATATATATTACTAGAGTCATTAATCAAAATGTATTGAATTAATTTTCCTCACTGATTAACACAAGTTGAGAAAATATTTAAATATATATTTTATTGATTTTTTACAGAGAGAAAGAGAGAAGGATAGAGAGTCAGAAATATCGATGAGAGAGAATCATCGATCAGCTGCCTCTTGCACACCCCTACTGGGGATGTGCCCGCAACCAAGGTACATGCCCTTGACTGGAATCGAACCCGGGACTTTTCAGTCCACAGGCCGACGCTCTATCCACTGAGCCAAACCGGTTTCGGCAAATTGAGAAAATATTTAAATTCATAAAAATATGGTTCATAGGGACTATTTTCTAAATCCCAATTCTAAAATTGCTCCTAAAATAAATAAGAAAAATATAAAAGTATTACCTTGTTGATATCATCTGCTGCAAATCCACTTTGTTCTAAGAGTGCTCTGATTGCTTCTATACATTTATTAAAAAGTGGAGAACAGAGAAGTTCAAATCTTGCTCTGTTCACACAAAGAAGAGGAAGAAAAAAGGCTTATACAATTAAACAAGACATTTTTTACCTTTTTAAAATAATTTTTATTTTGACAGAATGTGATTAATTGCAAAATTTATTAAAATCTGTTAAACTGGTTTTATTACCAAGGCTTTCACTAGAATGTCATTTTTTAAAATATATCTTTAGTGTTCATAGTATTATAGATAATTTACCCTCCTCTCTTCCCCTTCTTCTCTCAGCCTCCACACACCCACCCAGGTCTAAACCTCCCTATTTGCTGCCTGTGTACAGGACATCTTTTTCTTATGAAGAGTAAAGCCAAAACCTGATGTGACAGTTCTCGTAAGAAAAGGTTTATGATCAGAACAGGATTATGTAGCACTTAGCAATGCAATACCATGGGGGAAGAGGGGATACTAAATTATTCACCTACCAATGTATGAAGACATGTTAAGAATCAAATTCAGGTTGGAGATTCTTACCCAATGCCTACTTACAGGTTTTCCATAACCTGAAAATGAAAACTCAACGTATGACAGTCCCAACAGTAAATCTATTGATCCAAATCAAACCATCATTTGGAAGTGTTTACTTTTTTTGCGTTCAAGTTTTAAAAATTATTTTGCATTATTTTTCTTTATAATCTGAGACTATATTATACCTAAATGTAGCTCTTTGGTATCATCTGAGAAAAATGAATGCTAGCATAGCATTTTAAAAATATATATTTTTATTGGTTTCAGAGAGGAAGGGAGAGGGATAGAAAGATCAATGAGTAAGAATCATCAATTAGTTGCCCCCGCAACACCTTCCACTGCAGATGGAGCTAGAAACTTGTGACCAACTGGTTCATAGGTCAATGCTCAACCACTGAGCCACACCAGCCAGACACTAGCATAGAATTTTAAAAATAATCTATATTCAGGAAAAACGTACTCCCTAATTTTATACTGAACTCCTTAGATGCAGACAACTAATTTTTAAATTTATTTGTGCTATCTCTAGATATTAAAATATTCCTATGCTTGCGATCTTAGTGATAAAGCAAAATTTCTTTAATAAAAAATTAAAATTTCTATTTCATTCTTAATAACTGATATTAATAAGCCAATACATACTTATATACTGAGTACTTGGATAAACTTAGCACAAAGTGAAGAATTCTGGAAATAGAAAAAATAGACACTCTGTCCATCTTTCTATTTTTTGGGCTGTAGCTTCAAATCTCATTTAAAATATCTAGAGTAGTGCTGTCTAATAGAATTTTTTGTGAACATTAGCCACAGTAAGACCTCAATATAACTAATTCAGATGAGGGAGCATTTGTTAAAAACCAAAGTCCATTATATAATAAAGTAGGTTTTCTGAATGTGTATGCTAAAAATTGACATATTAGTTTACCTATTTTTACTTTGTATACATGTTTGTGTAATTAAATTAAATATGTATGAATACTTTAATTTCACAAAGTTTCCTATATGTATTATAGTAATTTTAAATTTATACGTAATACAATCTAGTAAATGCATGCATTCAACAGTCACCATGAGTAAACAAATGTTAAGACTGCTGTTAAGATTGGCGTGACAACAGAACCAATTACTAAATGGGCAATGCTTGTGATCATGTGCTAATCATTCAATGAACCCTATTTACGAGAAGTGACTCCTAGGTTTAAATATGTAATATTTGTAGATATGTAATATTTATGTGTGTCCGTAAAATTGAGTTTTTTCCCAACATACGGCCTAAGTGCGAAAATTTAGTAAAAATAACTGAATTAATAACAAAAAGGTAACTTGTTAATTTAATTATAAGCAAATCTTGGTTAAAAGAATTTTAAAATTAACATGGTATTAATTTTCACATATGACATATGGACCCAAAATTTTGTCCATTAAATCCGAAGTCCGTTAAATCAAGGTCTGAAAAATTGAGGGTTTATTGTATTGAGCACTGGAATAGAGCCTGGTGTTACTGAGAAATGGAACTTTTAATTATTTGTTTCTAATTAACTTATATCTAAATGGCAATCGGTGGCTAGTGGCTATTATATTGGACATGCAGAGCCAGAATCTTCAGAAAAGTCCATGAAGAGTGAGGAAGCTAAACTATAACAGACAGATGAAGAGAGAATTTAACCAAATATACTCAGTACAATACTAAAAATAAAACAATGCTATAATTCTGGAAGTTTTCACTATGTTTCCAAGTCACCTGTTAGGTTTTGGGGATGTTTAAATGGTTTAACTAGTTGTTAGTAATATGCAATATAAAACGATAAGGCAACAGCCTCTCTTTGGACTTTCAGGATAAAAGTGCAATCACTGATAAGCAATGATTTGGATTATGTAAAAGACAAGGGTATTAAAAACAATTTTATGCACATTATACCTATGCTTAGTGAAAGTCATAACAACTATTAAAATTTAAAATGATGATGGGTGACAGAGCAATCAAAACCAAAATAAATATCAATCTTTAGCATCCTATATAATAAAGGCTAATATGAAAATAGACCTAACGGTGGAACAACAAAACAACCGGTTGCTATTGACCACTAGGGGTGCATGTGGAACATGGTGGGTGTTGGCAGGCAGCAGGCAGTGAAGTGCGGAACATGGTGGATGTTAACCACAGCATGGTGGAGCCAGTGAAAGGGTGTGTGTGTGTGTGTGTGCCAGACCAAGGTGGGGTACTGGTTGCTGTAATTAAGGTGAGCTTTTGGTGGTTACTGAAAATTCTTTGCTCCCATGAGCTGCGATCCTGTCCAATTCTTGTACCTGCTGCTGGCCCTGATTGTCCCTCAGGGCTTCTCCACTTCCCCCTGCCTCTGAGGGAGGATTGGAGCTGGCAGCCACCTCTCATACCCATATTCCCTGCCTGCAACGGCCCACTCGCACCCACTACTGGTGCCAGAACCACCGCTTGCATCTGCTCTCGCTTGGCGTTGTCAGTGGGTGTTAGTGGTGTCTGCTGGCCCTGATTGCCCCTCAGGGCTTTCCCATCTACTGAGGGACAACTGGGGCAGCAGTCACTGCTTGCACCCGCTGCTGGTGCCAGCAACTGTTCTGCCCTGTCATCTGGTGTGAGTGGGGCCAGCGCCTTCAGCATGTGGGAGCAGTGGCTGTGAGAGCGGAGCTGCCAGCAAACAAAGGACCATCCCCGTCCCCCACCCCCCATGCCACAGCAGGAGGGACCGGGTGGGATGTGGAGGATGGGCCAACACCAAAACCCACCCTTATGCCCAAGGCAGCCTCCCAGCCCACAGTTCCTTTCTGGGTGCTCGAATTCATGCCTTGGGTCCCTAGTAGTGTAATAATTACAGAGTATGAACTTTGGGGTCAAACTGGCTAGGTTTGAAACCCAGGTCCATCACTTACTAGCTGTGTAACCTTGGACAAATAATTGAACCTCTGTGTTTCAGCTTCCTCATATATAAAATAAGGACATTATCTTTGGGTTGTTGTGAGGATTTGATGAATTGATACTTAGAATACAGGCTACCACACAGTGTTGATGATTAAGTTATAGTAAACAAACTTGAAACATGTGCTAGCCCCACATCAATTTTAAGCGATAAAGTAAGAGTCATATAGGTGGGGCTGCCATTTAATAAATCTGAAAATCTCAAATTTAAGTCTCTTCTCACTATTCTTTAAAAGATCTGGGATTTTTTCAGACACTGCTATTTGCAAATAACAATCACATCTGACATAATTATTTTGCAAACAGGTACTTATTCTGACAAAAAATTGGATCCCATAAGTAAACACAAGAAAGCTCTCCTTTTATAAATGGTGAATTTAAAATGAACAAACAAAAAACCCAAAAGTGAAAAAATTATACCTAAACATGAAAGCACTTGACATTTTAATGAAGGTTTTTTGAATTTCAATTTTACCTGGACACATTGCAGTCAAAATCTTGACCTTCATATAACGAGTCAAGGAAACAATTGGCACTTCCCAAGGTTGACAGAGAATGTTTTGCAGTGTCAGCACTGTTCATCAATTTCATCATGGCTCGGGCGTTTCCTCTAACGTCATGTTTGAAGGATCTAAGTTAAAAATATAGTTTCTGAAGTGAGAATTTATTATAATTAAAATCTGGATAATCCCTATTAAGATAATAAGCAACTCAGAAAGCAGTATTAATACCAGATTTTATCATCTGGCTTCCAACCCACCAAAATTTCTGAAGAAAATTCTCTGCAATTAAAAGAAGAATCTCTTAAAGAAGAATCAATAACCATAAAGTTAATATTCTGAACTTCTGCATTCTGTACCTTTAATAAATTCTTTAAGAATATACTTTAAAGAAAGAGTACCTATTATATTTTTTGCAGATGAGACAAATGGAGGTTGAAGGAGATTATGTAACTAGGTCAAATCTCATATTTGAAATTGAGGCATTGTTCAATGGTGTAAAATTATCTGTCCAGCTTCTAAAAAATAAACTAAAAGTGGTTCTTTAAAGAAATTTGACAAATACAAAATGGGCAGAATTACAGTTCCTCTGGCAGTGAGCAAAGGCCTTGCTTTTATATATGTACATTAATTAGAATTGGGAGTAAAATTAACACTACTCTACCTTGAATTGAAATACTTTATAACAAAAAATGGTATAGGTCTTTCTTTGAAAAATGAGAAATCACAACTTTTTCAAGACTTTCTTTTACCCAGTTTAGCTAAACAGATGAACTGTTTCAGCTACATTTTTTTTTTTTAGTGCAGTAATGTCCAAAATATAACTTTATACTATATGTAGCTCCTGATATGCCAAACAATAGAATTTTGAATGGGATAACTGCATCCAGTAACAAAACTAAAATCTTCTTTGTAGTAGTAGATTAGTAATTAAATAAACACTTCATTAATTCCCTGGAATGTGACTATAACAATGTAATCTTCATCAGCTCTAAACTTAAAAACTGTTCAGAAGGTAGTGAGGCCTCAGAGCTGGTGACCCATCCTCCCTTCACCAAGACATAGAGCAGCATATGAAGAATTAAAAAACGGTACTTGAGATCCAAGTCCACATAGTTCCACGCCTAGTAATTCCTTAAACTAAGTAAAAAAATCTAACCAAGTAAACTGCACTGGACAGGTTGGCCTATGCTTCTCTACATTTGTGTGGATAGATACTAACTCCACAAAAATATCCATTACATTAGAAAAAAACATATCCTCCTTTGAAGCAAAGCAATTTCAAATAAACTAAAGGAAAACGTTAATCAAAATATATCGTGCAGAAGCAGGTTTGGCTCAGTGGAGAGAGCATTGGCCTGTGGACTGAAAGGTGCCAGGTTTGATTCCGGTCAAGAGCATGTCCCTTGGTTGTAGGCACATCCCCAGTAAGGGGTGTGCAAGAGGCAGCTGATCAATGATTCTCTCTCATTGATGTTTCTAACTCTCTATCCCTCTCTCTTCCTCTCTGTAAAAAAAATCAATAGAATATATATTTTAAATATATATGTATACATATATATATTTAAAATATATATTCTATTGATTTTTTATTTTATTTATTTATTTTATTTTATTTTATTTATATATATATTTCTCCAGCCCTGGCTGGTTTGGCTCAATGGTTGGAGCATTGGCCAGCATACTGAAGGATGGCACATTCAACTGCCAGTCAGGGGTATGTGCCTCAATTGCAGGTTCCCTGGCCCCAGTAGGGATGTGTGTGGGAGGCAGCCAATCAACATGTTTCTCTCATATTGATATTTCTCTATTTCTCTCTCTCCTCCTTCCACTCTCTCTAAAAATCAATGGGAAAAAATGTCCTCAGGTGAGGACTAACAACAATATATATAATCAAATTCATTATTACTCACCTCTGAAACTCAGAAGCTAGATGCTGTGCTAAAGTTTCTGTAAATTGTGTACCCCCGATGTTATCATCAGTGTTTGTTGAAATAACACGATATATTCCACTGTTAACTTCCATGACACTGATAGATAAGGATGTTCCTCCAAGTTTGAACACTAAAATATTGCTTAAAAAAGAGATAACATGAGTAAGTTATGAGAGAACAGAACCTTTTAAAGCTAGATTGGACTTTTTTTTTTTTTTTTAAATCAATCTTTATTGTTCATATTATTACAAAGGTTCCTCATTTCTTCCCCCCTCCACCAGGTTCCCACCCTACCCTCTCTGCCCTTTCCCCCACCCTACCCTCTCTGCCCTTTCCCCAACCCCCATTGTCCTCATCCATAGGTGTACAGTTTTTGTTTAGTCTCTTCCCCCATCCACCACATCCCTTCCCCTCTCCCCCACCCCAGTATGGTCAGTCCACTCCCCTCCCGTATCTCTGATTCTATTATAACAACAGTTAATATTATTCATCAGGTTTTTTAATTTCCTTTTTTTAAATTAATAAACTTTTATATTTTTAAAAATAAATTTTAAGAATAATTTTAAACCTTGTTTTTCTGCCCTGGGAACTGAGAAGCAAATTTGTTTACATGTAAACTTGCCCTTAGGCTATCAAAAGGTGTAGCAATTCAAATGTAAATGAACACACTGTTTAAAGATAGCTGCTGGCTGGAATTGGATTACCAGTTCTGGGTGGGAAGGGCTTGTCCTCCCCTTTCTCCATTAAAATTAAGGTGTTAGCTTTAAAACCTCTCTTTGGCAAGAGGCCTTAAACTTTCAGAACTTTAAATTTTTCAGGTAGAAATATTCTGGTCAATTACTTAGCATTTTCTCAAATCAATAATACCTCCACATGCCCAAGGATACACTTCACACAAAAGACACTTTCAAATAGATCAACCAACCTCATCCAGACCCCACACAAGGCACTCACAGATCAACACCCCAGCACTACAACAACTCAACACATCCAGATCTAAGCCTTCATCACTTGATTCAGCAGACTCTCAAGTTCCCCCAAAAGTTTCCAGCCATGTCTGAGAAGCAGCCCTGGGGCATGGGCAGGCAGGAGCGAGCTGTTCTGGGCCCAGCTGCTCCGGGCCTGGCCTCTGTTGCTCTGGGCCGCTCCACAACCAGCTGCTCTGGGTCTGGCCGCTGCTGCTTGGGGCCCGGTTGCTGCTGCTCAGGGCCTGGATGCTCCCGACCCAGTTGTTCTGTGCCCGAATGCTCCAGGCCTGGCTACCCTAGGCCTGGCCGCTGCTGCTCCAAGTCCGGCCGCTCTGGGCCTGGCTGCTGCCGCTCCAGGCCTGGCTGCTCCCGACTCGGCTGCTAGGGGCCCGGTTGCTCTGGGCCTGGCTGTTCACGGCCTGGTTGCTCCGGGCCTGGCTGCTGCTGCTCCGGGCCCAGCGGCTCTTTGGACTGGCTGCTCCGGGCCTGGTTACTGCTGCTCCGGTCCTGGCTGCTGCTGCTGTTCCAGGCCTGGCTGCTCCCGACCCGGCTGGCTCTGGGCCTGGCCGCTCCCGGCCTTGCTGCTGCTCCGGGCCCGGCTGCCACTGCCCTAGGCCTGGCTGCCGCCACTTCAACATTCTGTCTTTTTTTTTTTTTTTTTTAACGCATTTATGTTGCAATGTTGGCTGCTGAGTTGAGTTCTGTCTTAATCTTCGATTTTTCAAGATCTTCTTTGTATTCTTTCTTAAGTAATTTTACTATCTTTTTGTTATAACTTGATTTCTTCACATTGAAAACTTCTTTGGTTTCTTCCTCCAAGTCCTGGAAGCTCAGCAGGCTGGCCCGCGGCACTCCTTTGTTCTCCTCAGCCTCCTGTGCGCCATGGTCAGCGCCACCCAAAAAGCAGCCTCTAGCCTCGGCTCCGTGGCTGGCGATCAGCAGTCAAGGGGCCAGCGGCACCTCCCCTACCCCCCACCCCCACCCCCAGGGGCCCTGTCACCCGGCTCCTTGCCGGCGTCCGGCGGCGGCTCCCACTCCTCATCGTGTTCTTCCCAGTCTAGAGCTTTTGTCTCCTTCCCGCCAGGGCAGTCCAGCCTCAGAGTCAACAGTCAGTCCTCTGCACGCAATGTGCGCGACTCTGGGGGCTCTGCCTTTCGCCGCTCCCCTGAGATTCTGCCTCATAGCCCAGGCTCACTCTTTTTAAGCCTGGGTCCCTAGGTTCTGGCCTAGAACTGGGATTCAGAGCAGTCGGAAGTGAGGCTCAGCACAGCCGGAGCTTTAGTCTCCTTCCTGCTAGGGCAATCCCGCATCAGAGTCAACATTCCATCCTCTGCGCGCAATGTGCGTGACTCCGGGGGCTCTGCTTTTCGCCACTCCCCTGGGATTCTGCCTCACAGCCCCGTCTCCCTCTGTTTGAGCCTGGGTCCCCAGGGTTTGCCCTAGAACTCGGGTTCAGCGTTGTCGGGTCTGGGGTTCAGCCCAGTCTGGAGCTTTTATTTCCTTCCCACTAGGGAATGCCAGCCAGGTACTCAGCCTCCCCCTCCTCTCTGTCTCCGTCCTCTTCGCAAGCGCGTGCGCGTGCACCATGTCTCCATACCTTAGGCTTTTACAGCTCCTCTGATTTTCCTTCTGGTTTTCTCTTTCCTTCTTGTTGTAGAATTTTCAGTCAGTCAACTTCCTGTAGCTCTGGGCAATGTCCATTTTACATTTTAGTTGTATTTTATTGAAATTGTTGTGTGCGGCTGCGGTTAGGTGTTTACCTGTGCAGCCATCTTGGATCCTCCTGTAGGTTGGACTTCTTACACCAAGGAGCCACTTAGTTTAATCCATTTAGATCACAAATAAGAAAACTGAAAATCCCACATGAGTAACTAACTTGCCCATGGTTGTGTGGTGATTGCTGGGGTGAGGGGTGTGGAGAAAGGTAGAAGAGAGTATAGAGAGGATAAATGATGATAGACAGAAACTTGACTTGGGGTGGTGAACACACAGTACAGTGTTGTAGAATTGTACACCTAAAACCTATACATTTTGTTAACCAGTGTCACTCAATAAATTCCATTAAAAAAAATTGTCCATAGTCATCACTTATTGGTGAATTTAGCTTAAAAATCAGATCTTCTAATTTTAAGTGAAAATTATTTTTTCATTTAGTTATGCTGGTAAAATTGTATTCTTCTGAGTAACTGGAGTTCAAAACACCAACTTTTCAAATAAAGATTTGTATTTATAGTGAATTGTAAGAGAATTAAAAATAGGAATTTTGTGTTAATATTATCCAATTTACTGCTGCAATAACATATCTATAAAAATGAAACATACCCAAAACTAGGAGCTCATTTCCAATGTATAAAAATTTATAATTTATGATATTTTATATTTATCTAAAAATAATTTCCTACTGATATATATATTCATTTCTTTACTCAAATTGTGAGATATAAGGTGAAACAATTAGGGGAAATTAACACATCTGAATTAATTTCCTTGAAGCAGCATGATATGTCAGGCCTATTAAGACAACCTTGAACTAAATTAGGAGTTATGTTTTACTGTTTCATAATCAAAATAATTCTTAAATTCTCACATCGGATTTCTGGCCATCTGTCAAAACAAATGTGTACAAAACTACTCACTAGATATAAACAAGTTTAATAACTGAAATTGGTAATAAAATGAAGTGTCCTAGCTTGATTTGGAATGTGTGGCCAAACTTACAAATAAAAATAATTTGAAATCTGTGGCCAAACTTACAAATTTCAAATCTATCTCAATTATAGGGACAAAATGTGGGTGATAGGAGAAGGATAGATAAGCTCAATCTTCCCTCCTGTTATGATCCTTCTCTGCTTTCCTAGGACACCTTTCTCATCTAGTTGAAAAAAATTCCAGTTGAGAGTTTTGATGTCTTTTCATTCACAAAGGCTTGGAAGTGCTGCATTTTATAATAATCTCTATTGATGTAATTCCTATAATCTTAAATGTTTTCTGCACTGAAAAATTTAAAACTGAAAATACGGTTTTTACCTTTTTCCAGCAGGGGAGTCTTGTCCAATTCCATAAGCCAGGAGAGCTGCAGATGATTCATGGATTAACCGCAAAACATTAAAGCCAGCAGCTCTGGCTGCTTCCCTGTGGACAATTTGCTTTCAGTGAATTTAACATCACAACATGTTCAAGTCTACATTTTAGAAATGCTCTGTTGTAAGATTTTATGCAATAGCAAAAAAGATTTCATAAATAGAACATAGATGGTAATGATCTTTAGAAGCAAAATAATAGGATACAAGAGATCAATGTAACTCTTAAGAGATCATTTTCATTTAATAATGTTCATTGGTTGATCTCTTCCTACTCACCTCTCCTTCCCTCTGAGATTCGACAGTCTGTTCCATGCTTCTATACCTCTAGATCTATTTTGTTCATCAGTTTATTTTGTTCAATAGATTAAATAAATACATGAGTGAGATCATGTGATACTTATCTTTCTCTATCTTATTTCACTTAGCATAATACTCTCCAAGTCCCGCCATTCTGTCTCAAAGGGTAAGAGACCTTTCTTTTTTACTGTTGCATAATATTCCATGGTGTTAATGTACCACAGGTTTTTGTCCACTCATCTACCAATGGGCACTTGGGCTGTTTCCAGATCTTAGATATTGTAAATTATGCTGCTATTAACATAGGGGTGCATATATTCCTTTTGATTGGTTTCTTAGGATATAGTCTTAGAAGTGGGATCACTGGGTCAAATAGCAGTATGCATAATTCATGGACACAGATAATAGTGTAGTGAAGACCTGGGAAGAGAGCAGGGGCGGGCTAAAAGGGATCAATGGGGAGAAAAAGAGGACATGTGTAATACTTTCAACAAAAAAGATTTAAAAAATTTTTTTTCTGACCTAAAGTACAACTGGTTAAGAATGAGAAACAGAAATAAAGAACAAATTAAAAGCTGGAAACAGAGAACTGAAGCTGGTATAGAGAAGCTATCTAAAATAGAACAAATGTATTATATAGTACTAAATGTATTATATATCTAGTATAGGGTAGAAGAGAGAGGGGGTCATCTCAGCCCAGCCTGCGCCCTCTTTCAATCTGGGAGCCTTTGGGGGATGTCCGACTAATGGCTTGGGCCCATGGGGAGTTATTTATGGTTAAATAATTAGGTATTGTTTTATAAAAATTAATAATAATGTTGTCTATTTTCTTAATAAAAGAAAATACCATGTGTTTATATTGAACAAGAGAAAGCCCTCAAAAATATCTATGCTTATAAACTTTAGATAAATTTAGAACACATTTTGCAATTTTCCAATTTCTTTTATCGTCAGTTTTTAATATCCCACCAATTCAAGTAAATGAAGCAATTCTCTGCACCAGAAGCAACTTAGATGTTTGCCAAAGCCTCATGTGGAACTCTATCCCAAAAGTAAAGGCATGCATTCTCACCAATTACATCTGCATAATCTCAAAAACTACATGCTGCTTTTTGGTTAGATGTTAATATCTAAGATGAAAGAATACCTGCAAACATATAAAATTGGCTATTTTTATATAATTTTAACATAAACCCTAATTACATAAAAGTAGGGCAAAGTAATTCATAAACATCAACTTAACCTGGTAATTGAGAACATTTCTAATCAAAATAGATAAGAAGGTTTATCTAATTTTATATTGTCTTACCATTTCATAAAAGATAGGAAATATTAATGACCAGTAACATACTTTTTACCATACTATTTACATATACACATGTATTTACAAGTAAAATTTAATTGCCCAAAGGGTTTTCAAATGCAATTTTACTTTATTACTATATGGTTATAGTATAAAATTTGTATTTCCTTTAAGCAAATAATATAAACACATATTATACTTACCCAAGAGCATTTTTTTGCTTTTCTCCAAAATCAAATGGAACAGTAATAACTACATCATTTGCATCTGAGCCCAAGACAGAATGTGCCGTTTCTATATATTAAAAAAATAAAAAAATAAATTCTAATGACACAGAAATATATCAAGTGATCCTTTCTGAGGTTTATCAATTTGCAGCGAAGATCTTCTCACTATAAAGATTTTCCAGTTCACTTGCTGTCCCACCGTACTGATTTTCTCTTTTTGCTCTCTTAAACCATGCAGATGGTTTTGGTAATTTGTGAACACAGAACTAAGTACTTTCCAAAGTGCCTGGCTCTTAGGCTTCAGTTTCAACCATCTCCCAAAGTAGACTGGTTTTTATTGAGAATGCGCTTCTAATGTGTCAATGTAAAGACAAACAGTATAACATTAATTCAACACATTAAAGGGATTTCTTATATCCCAGAGCTGATGAGTACTATGTAGATTATCCATAGGCATAATCTACTCCAAAATTTCCTAAATTGTTTTAAGAATGCCACTCAGCTCTAGCCTTCAGAAGTGATGAAACCAGACCTACTTAATCTGCTTAACTATTGTTGAGAGTGTACTGTCAATCTTAAAGGAGATATAATATTCACTTTTCATCACATTTGGCCACTTCATCTTAAGAAGTTTTGAAAATGCTAATTCAGCCCAATCCATTTACATTACTTCTAGTGAGACCTAAGTCAGGGAAGCTAAGTCATTAACCATAGTCACATAGCCAATTAGTGGCCCAGTCAGATACTATAGAGTGTAGGTCTCCTTAATGCTAATCTGCTCAATCAGCTGCTTCTCCCTAGGGCAAAAAATATGTCTACTTTTTAAGATCAATTATTAAAAAAGTTTTGGTTTGGCTCAATACCTTTCATTTTACTAAATATCAGTCTGGCAACATCTCCTGGGTTAACAAATTTTGTTTCTTCTCCAGTATCTATTTTATATCGTAATTTTCCATTTTTTTCAATGACCTAGAAAGAAAATTATAAGTGTGTTAAATAAGGAATAATTTTAATAAAAATATCAAGTGTCAAACCAATATTATAGGCCAGCACCTTAGCAATTACTTTGTGTAATAGGGAAGTAGTAATAAGACCATACTCACTAAACATTTACTTTCTGTGATGTATTTCTGAGCCTGTGGGTCATCAGAGCTGTTCATAAAGATAAAGATAATTAAGTATTAAAATCTGTATTCTTCATATGTAAGGTTTAAAGAACACTACATTTTTTTTAACCTCTGAAAAAAAATATAAAAATATAAACAAAATTAAGTTGCTTAATTTTTAAAAAAAACTTGAAAAAATTTTCAATTACTACAGAGGACCTTTACAAAGGGTATAGTAATTCTATTAAAGTGTTAATTTTTGCATTTGAAAGTAGCTCTTAGTTGTTCTGAGATTTCTTCTATTAATAGATACTATAAAACATTTGGGGGTGATTTTTCATTCTGTCAATGATTTTGTTACATACTTCCACATCTATAAGAACCAACCACTGAGATAAAAATGACAAAAGAAATAATACTGCAAACTAAGGGCAAACCAGCACGCCTAATGTCATCTCTGCTGCTTGGCCTGTACATAAATCAACAACCAAAATCAAGAGTGAGCAACAGTACAAATGTTATATATAGAAAAGTACACAGTACTACAGGTGGACAGATCAATAATGCCCTACATAAAGTGGGTACTAAGTAAACGTTCATGGCAATAACATAAAATGTTTTTTTAAAAATATATTTTATTGATTTTTCACAGAGAGGAAGAGAGAGGGATAGTTAGAAACATTGATGAGAGAGAATCATCGATCAGCTGCCTCTTGCACACCCTCTACTGAGGATGTGCCCGCAACTAAGGTACATGCCCTTGACCGGAATGGAACCCTGGACCTTTCAGTCCGCAGGCCAAAGCTCTATCCATTGAGCCAAACCGGTTTCGGCAAAATGGGTGTTTTGTTGCTCAAAATAGTAATACCAATTTATGCAGACTATGTTTTCACATATATTACCTTACTTGATTGTCCCAATACCTCAATGGGATTAATTTGGCCAGCATTATTTTAGAGGTAAGATTCATAGAGGGTCAATGACTTAAAAAGTTAATAAGGGGTAGAGTCAGTATTTGATCCCAGGTTTTTTCTATCTGGGTATGGTTATTCACTTTACCAGAGAGCCTGGCAGTAAGATGGTGCATGACTAAGTACTTCTGCAGCTTGAGCAGAAATAAGAGTAACTAATCTTTGGTTTAATCTCATTTTACTAAGATCAAGTAAATCCTTCCCCTAAACCAAGAATGTCAAACTCAAAGGCTAACACAGGCCAATAAACTAGGTTTATGTGGGCTGCAAAAAAACAAAAACATCAATTTTCTTAGAAACATAGGTTTATTTCAAGAGACATGCTGAATACAAAAGGCTGAAATAAGTGAGTGATCGTTAACATAAAAAAGAACTTTAATTTTTCTCGAACATTAACTTACCAGACACAAATTAATAAGCACAACACAAATAAACCTGTTGTGCACACTAAACAAGACAGTCCAAGACTAATGACGTGACAATCAGCTGCTAAAATATTCGCTGCTATTATTAGTGGTGAGAAATGGTGTGCCTGCATGTAAGGGAACTGAATGCAACACAATTATAGTAATCACTAGTGAATGTTGTAGTTCCTTATTAATAATTATGTGTAATAGGATATTGTAAAAATTAAGTCACAAAAATTTTATTGGAACATTTCTTACATACCATAATATCGGCTGGGCCACGAAAACATTTGTTGTGGGCCATGAGTTTGACATGCTTGCCCTAAACCCTTTTTTCAAGGGTCTGTGGCTATTCTGTTCAGAAACTAGTCATGTTTAATAAGAAGAGGTGGAAATTAATAGAGACTAACTGCGAAAGCAAGCATGTTTCACTAGCAGCCGACTGCAATATCATTAATCTAGTAATGATTTGTTTGGTGTGCACAACAGGAAATATTTCTCTTTTAGAGCACAAGAAAAGTGGGTTTATTGGAGTTATGCTTATTAATTTGTGGAGTTATTCAGTGTCTGGTAAGTTAATGTTTAAGAAAAAATATTAATTTTTATTAAAATGTTCTATTATTTTAACGATTACTCATTTATTTCAGCCCTTTGTATTCAGCATGTCTATCGAAATAAACCTATGTTTCTATGAAATTTGAGGCTTTTTTGCGGCATACATAAACTTAAACCTTGTATATTTGGCCCGTGTTACTTTGAGTCTGATATACTTGTACTAAAGGATTACTGAACATCTGATGACCCTAATCTGAATAATTAAGAGAAAGACAAAAGGGTTGTTTAAAATTGCCTAATTTGGCTTAAAAGTCTGTCTGAATACTTGCAGATTCCCCACACTTCCTTCTCTATCATCTAAAAATTGGTAGTGAGGAAACAGGTAAAACAGCTTGCCCAAAGTCACATGGTTAATGGCAGAACTGGCCAGAATCCAGATCTTTTTTTTTTTTTTTTTTAATATATTTTAATGATTTTGTACAGAGAAGAAGGGAGAGAGATAGTGAGTTAGAAACATTGATGAGAGAGAGTCATCGATCAGCTGCCTCTTGCACACCCCCTACTGGGGATATGCCCGCAACCAAGGTACATGCCCTTGACTGGAATCGAACCCGGGACCTTTCAGTCCCCAAGCCGACACCCTATCCATTGAGCCAAACCGGTCTCGGCCAGAATCCAGATCTTTAATGCAAAGTTTAGTATTCTTACTACTGAACCCTCCCCTTCTTCCCTTTTCAAAAACCCAATATCCTGGACAAATAACTTTAGGAGTAAGAATCAGATGAAGTGTCCCAGAATAATTTTTTTGCACCAATGCTGTAAATTGTTCACATTTACCAGTTGTTTTTAGATCAGAATTTAAGTCAACCAGGATAATTTATCCTATTGTGTAGGCTACCTACCACTCGGAGAAGATATTTGTTGGAAAAAGGTATTTTATGGAATTTATAAAACTCTTCGAAAGGAAAATTATTTCTCAAATGCTACGCAAAAAGGCCCTGGCTTATGTGAAGACAGAAAGCACACACAGCTCTTGTATAGGCAAGAACCTGGAGATTAACTAACAGAAAAGCAGAAAGCAAGAATGCAGGTGACGACAAATGATCACAGATAGCACCAGAAAGTAGCGAACTGACCCACAACTACATACAAATAAAAATTTTATTTGTCCACACCAGGATTAATTATGTAACAGAAAAACAAAGGATGGTGGGAGGTTAGTATACAGAGCACCTTATTTACATCATGATCTTAAGAAGGCAGAACGTTAATCCTACCATAGTATCACCATCTTTATCAGCAATGCCATTTTATCTTCCTCCTCTTGGTTAACAGGGGACATACCAGCACTAATGTGCTACAGAGTCTTCTTTCCTACTGCTGTCACAGTATAGTGCTTTCCATGTATGAAAGCATTTTTACATTTATGTTTCTTTGACACTCACAACAATCCCATGAGGTAGGTAGGACATTATCAACTTCTTAATAGGTGAGGATCCTGAGATATACCAGTAGAATGGTAAAATGACCCATTAAAGGATGGATACATAGTAATGGTTTGGCCTGGAACTTAAGCAGGATTTCTGGGCTTATTTTCTTTCATACAATGTCCCCTTATTACAACTTCCCTCCTCTTTATAATATTTTTCCTATTTCTGTTCTGTTCATTTTATTTTCCTTTAGTTTTATTCCCACAGTAAGATTACATTACCCATTAGTTTTTCACAATACTACCTTCAAAGTTTAACTCCACTTCTATACTTTAGTACTTCCTTTATCTCAAATAAATCACTGCCTATGTATTTTGCCACCATTAATAGATTTAGTATAGGCCTAATTCTTCACCAAGCACTTCCCTGTTTTTCCAAAATGTCTACCTACCTACATTAGTGTTATATAGTTATAACTGACACATATCCCTCCATTTATTGACCTAAAACAATTCAAATGATTTGCCAATGTAACGGTGACAGGATTAGAACCCAGGAGTTCTAACTTGATTCCAGTGTATGCTGCCACAGCAGCTGCCTCCTCCATACATTATCCACTAAACAGAGCAGCTCACTTGTTTGCCATCTATTCATGGTTCTAGGTATGTTCCCATTGTTTTTTGACTATTTCTTCACCTATTTGTATTTCTTGCATTAAGCATGTAAGCCTGCAAAATATAAAACTTCTTCCAACATGCTCAGACGTTTTTTTCAGCCCATAGATTGAAGAAAAACTTTTTAAATTGGAAATATGGCTCAACACCTGTGTTTTTTTTGGAAAACAGAATGTATTTGAGAACCTGTGCTTCAAAGGAATTATTTATTGCAAGCAGTCTTTATTCACATCATGCTCAACTCTTCCCAAAGCTGTTCTTTTCTACCACATGCCACTAACTAGGTGATCTTTCTTCAACATGATGTGAAAAGTGATATTGGAAAGTTCCCTGGAAGAAAAGTTTTCTAGTGCTTGTCTTCTGTAACACTTAACACAGAAACAATGCTAACAAAAGAGAATGAAATTAGCTAAAAAGAACCTGGGAAACTAATATTATCCCAAATTTTTCCAAGATATCAATTAGCAATTCAAACTTAAAGATATGTAATTATGTATATAAAGAACCCCAGTAATACAGAATGCAAAGAATTTACTTACATTTAATATTTTATAAACAGCCAGTATCTCATTATATCAGATTATCAATATGAACCATAACACATGATTGTGGCTTCCTATCAGTTCTGAATTATATCCTATAGAGACTAAGAACTATTAAAATGGAGGGAAAGATGGTTTGACTATTGAGTGCTTACTAGTAGGTATGTCACAGATACAGCAGTGAAAATGAGAGAAAGGTACAAATAGATGTTGTGTCTATAGTAGTCGTGAGCTATAGAAGCATAAAAAAAAAAATGAAGACTTTAAATTTCAGAAAGCAATCAAGTTAAGCTATTCAAGCAATGAAGTCATCGTGGTATACAACCATAATTCTATATCTTGTCAACTAATGTGCCGCATCCTTGCCTTACCTCGGCCAAGGTCAGATACATTAACTTACATGTGTGTATGGTGCTTTTAAACACTTTCACATTTATTAACTATTTGATCCTCACAACATCCCTGTGAGGTAGGCAGGTTAGGAATTGTTACCTAGCTCCCACTTTACTGATGAGGAAACTGGTGCAGAGAGGTAAACTAAATTGCCTCACATTAGTGACAAAGCCAGGGCTAACTAGCTTTGGAGTTGGCTCCATCCATTTTCCATTAGGCCGCCTCTTAAATATCTGAAGTCTTCCAATTAGTGGAGAAGTTTGGGGGAAACAACTAGCATATTTGTCTAATATTCTCGTCTGCATATTTCCGGCTCATACACGCTTTTTCTGAGGACATGGAAAAAGATCCAGGTCACCAAAAACCAAGTATTGGATCTGGGCTTCTATCAGTTAAGGATATACACCCTTTTATCATTAGTTCCTAACTTTTGGTGTTAGAAATTAACCTCTGAAGCAATTTTTCAAGCCCTAGCTGAAAAGCACCGGTTGCCTCTTCCACTGCTGTTGCCAAGCGTCTCACTGCGATCACGGCATCCCTGCGGAGCTCATTGGCAGTGTCTTGCTGAGCACTGACCTCCTCACCAATAGCAATCAGCCTGTCCAATTTTTCTTCCTCACGTTTTGAAAGTTCTTGTGCCAATCTCCTGTTTTCTGCCAATTCAGCTGCAATAGTTCTGGCCACTGACCGCCTTCTTCGTCTTGCCCACCTTGGAGGGGGCTCACTGGTCAAAGGCCTATCCCCACCAGAAAAAGAAACTCCAGAGGAGATTGGAGGCTGCTGTGTGAAGGCCACCCCAGGAGTGTTTCGGCCGGTGCTGTTGCAGGGACTGGGCTCACCGGACACACCCCGTTTGGTCATGGGGCTGCTCTGACAGGGAGCAACTGCACCTCTGAAAAGGTGGTGGGAACTGCTGTAGCTGGGGGTCCCTTGAGAGCACCCTGAAAAACAAAGCAACAATGTTGCAGAGAGGACAGTCCTGCTAAGGGAAGGCATGGAGCCAGCAGCAGAGCTGAGAGACAATTAAAAAACTGTGGTGGGTCCTGGAAAGTCCTCTCTCCACAAGGGACTGGGAAGAATTCATTTCTTTGGTCTGGACATTTTAGCCTATTGTAACCCTATCTCCAAAACCTTCCCCCTGCCTTACTGAGCCCCTTTCCACTTAGCTATCCAACCCACTCTATATCCACAAAACGCCTAAGTACCCATTATAAATATTGCCAAAATAGTTTGGTTCTAAAGAGTACTTCTACATTTAAAGAGTTCTATACCTTACATACCTAGAGGGGAGGTCATAGCTTTTAAACACCTGGAGCCCATTATCTTATAATTAGGTTTTAAAAATAGAGGGCAGAGGCAAAAACAGGGGTTATGTTAAAACAAACAAACAAACAACAACAACAACAAAAAAAAAACAACCACCACCACAATCCAATCATATACTGTTGTTTAGAACCAAGTGACTCTGGAACCCAATCCTTTACATGTTTGGAAATTACCTGCACCTGAGGATTCATCCCAGGACTCCTCAAGGTTACTGGTTTCTTGCATCTGGTCAGTGATTCTCAGTTGACAATCCTCATCTGATTCCTTAACTGTTTTCGAGATAGGCTGATAATCTGCTGCCTGAGTCCTTTTTGAAAGTTTCAGAATGTCGGTTCCCTCTTCCCCTGGGTTGCCAGAGGCCAATAAGTTCTGAGTATAGTGCTTAGCCCAAGCAACATCCTCCATTAAGTTGTCTGGGTCAGTCACTACCTGATTTCGGAGAAGCTGATCCAAGGTCTCATAAAATGGACAGTGTGGTGGGTCACCCATACTTGTGGCATGGGCAACATATGCCTTTAAATATAATGCCTTCAGAACTTTAAACTTGGAGCGGCACTGACGATCGGTGCGGCGGAAGCCTTCCTGCTGCATTCGCTTAGACACAGCCTGATAGACATCTGCATTATGATGCACAGTCTGGAGGCGTTGAATGTATTCTGCCTCGCCTAGTATGGAGAGAAGAGTTCGCGTCTCCTGTCTGGACCACCGGATGCCCGCACTGCTATTGGAACTGGCCATAGTGGACTGGGAAGGAAGGCTAGCTGATGAAAGCTCCTGGACAGCAAGGTCCAAATCTGAAGGTGTGGGGAAACTCTGGGTGCTTTCCATTTATTTCCAGGAGCCAACGGATTCTTCCTTCTCAGGGCTAGTTGCTGAGAAGCCAGATCCAAGGACCAAATTTCTGGCTGGAAGGCCACAGGGGAATGAGTGTTACAGGAAGGATGTAAGGATAATTGTGGCAGCAAGTTAAGCAGTGCTACCTGTAAGAAGGTCACAAACAGGTAGGATGCCAAGACTGAGAAAGCCCAACTTTGGGAGTTCATCCAGTATAGACACTGCCTCAGGGGCTAAAAAGAGCCCTACTGACTTGATAACAAGGGGACTGGCTCCTCCGTGGAGGCCAGAATGGTTCCAAGGCTGAAACTGGGATACCTGTGTGTCTGTAAAAACCACCATTGTCTTCTAAGTAGACAGACGAAGTGGGAAATACCTGGAGCATAAGGCAGCTAGCAGGACCATGGTGTAGCAGTCCATCTGAAGGATGCTCATCCTTCACTAACCTTGCTTCAAGCAGCATACTGTGGCTATGTATTACCCATCTGACTGTCACCATTGCACTCCTTAGTTAAAGTTTAACTTTCAGGGCCAGAAAAGTAATCTTAAATTATTGTTAATACAAAGCTTTTTGCATAATACAGCAAAAGACAACCACATCTTTACTCCAAATGTCTGCCACAAAACAGCAGCATGAAACAAATGGACTACTAGGATCTGTGGACATGTTCTAAATCTTGATTATATCAATGTCAATACCAGATTGTGAGACTATACTATAATTTTGCAAGATGTTATTATTGGGAGAAAGTGACATATAGTAAAGTATAGCATCTCTTTGAATTATTTCTTACATTTATGTACAAGTACGCAAATATTAAAGTTCAATTAAAATTACATATTGTTGGTGGCTTACAGTGAATCTAGCTTCAACATCCATCTATAATTCCTTGTTGTTTTTTTCAGAACTTATAATTTGAACATCTTTGAAAACAACTAATTTATCACCATCATCCTCACCACAAAAATTTCAATTCTCTATAAAATGCTGTAGTTTCCGATTTTGTGCATAGCTATCCTAAAAGGGGGGGATGGAAGGGGAAGCCAAGTTCAGTTTAACTACAGGTAAAGGATAATTTAAAAAAATCTATATGCATAAAAAAATAAATCAACATTAAGAAAATTTCTATTAAATTCTCAACAGAACAACACAGAAAGAAAACCTGAGTCCATGTTAGGAGTCCTGAATTGTAGTCCTATCTAGTTCACCTCCCTTACTTCTCTGTGCCTTGACTTTTCTCATCTATAAATGTAAAGAGATAAAACCTGCCCCAATGATCTCATAGGGGTTTGAGAGAAATAAAATAATAGATGTGAAAGCACTCTGAAAACTTATACTATTTCAAGTATTACTATTACAGTGAAAATGAAACCCCCTAAGTATTATGATAATCTATAATTTCAGGAGACATGAGTCTGGGGAAGCAAGATTCTTTAATCTTTTAATTAAAAAAAAGCTGTAACAGATGATTAACCTAATTCTTGCATAAGATGCTACTTAAACTGTTTCTCTAATGATTAAATTTATAAGCCACCGGAAAAGTTAGTTCCCAGAAAGTGTCATAAAAGGACCCAAAGAAAATTGATAGTATCTACATAAATTATAACCAAATGTAATAGATTTTTCAAAAATCAACTACAATGCAAAGTAATCAAAGTCCCCCAAAATCTTTCACGTTCCCTCAGTGTAAAAATTTCAAATTACCACCTCTGAATGACACAAACTAACAAAATGAAAGGAATGTTGGTATATATCAATACAAACAGACCTGTAGGCAAGAAACAAACGTATGAGAGAAACCCATCTTTGAGAAGATGTGACATTAATCATCAAAAGAAAGTGGCTACTGAAGTACTCTCTGAAGTAACTCAGAAAAAAACAAACCCAGAAAAAACAAATGGTGTTTCTAGTTTCATTCCACATTATGCTTAGAATGTAAACACATTTTTATTACCTATATATATTAAAGTAATATTTTATTCCATACCTTCGGCCAAGGATCTGCTTTACTTTCATTACTGTATTTGAAATATTTCTTATTCTACTTTGTTTTGCTGCCAATCCAACCACCTGGAAAATAGCAATATATTACAATGCATGTAATTTTTACTTATTACAAAGCAAAAATATGAGGGGAATAGTACCTCTTCATTTTCTGAGTAGGCAACAACAGCTGGAGTAACTCTGTCACCTGCATCATTTGCAACCACATCAGCCCGGCCATCCTGGAGAAAAATATAGTAGTTACTTTGAATTAAATAGACTCATAGGACATACTGAGACATATGTGGGCCAGTGTTACTTTGCTATATATGTGGAAATACTGATCCATCAATATTTTAAACCTGTAGATTTAATTGCAACTATTCATCGACTGGATTTTATGAAAAGGTCAACATTCTATAAAGAACTGCCTCATTTTTCCCAGTCTTCTCTGCATAGTCAATAATGGAAACAAACATAACCTATATCCAATAACAAGCCTTATTTCACCACCCTTTCTACTTCTCTTCCTTCCCCTACAAATACCTTTTTCTTTCCTTTTTCTACATATGATGAAGTGGCACTAACTCTTTGGCTTTTCCTTACAAGTCATCTAACATTTAAACGTGAGTCTACTGTCAGGGGAGTTCAGTATTATTGTTCCTTCCGCCTCCCCACTGGCGAGGAAGGCCACCACTGCTTGTCACGCTCTCTTCACTTCCAGAAAGGCAAGACACTAGACCCCGCTCCATCAACTCGCTTCACAGGATCAAGGACAGCTCCAGCCCCAGGTCACTGCCTCCCCGCCCCTTCCCGGCAAAGGTCCAGAAACCTCCGGGCCTCCTGCGGCCACTACACCCCGCAGACCCTCCGGGCCTCCCGCGGCCCTGACGTCCTCGGACCCCGCTCGCCGGCGTCGTCACGACCCTCCTTCCCGGCCGCGTATGGCTTTCCGGAGCCGCAGGCGATGAGGCCTCCCCTTTTACTTCGAAACTTCCCCGCAGTGAAGCCTCGCCGCTCACCGCGCCGAAGGTGACCAAAAACCTGGACACGCAAACAGCGGGGTGGCTGACACTGGGCCCGCAGCCCAGCCCCCCAATCCCTCACCTTATAGACGGCCACACAGGCTGATGTGCAGCCCAGGTGAACTCCGATGGCCGCCATGAGGCGGCAGAGAAGGCGGCGGCAGTAGAGTGGTCGCCCGCCGACTACAGGTCCCCGGCTCCCAACATCCCCATCAGGCACCGCGGAGACTCCACGTTCCCGCCCGCCTACTGCGTCGGTCTGAACGCCGCGGCCTCCCGCGTTGTAGCCAATCAGCGTGAAGGTCCCGCCTCTCGCACGGCAGCCGACGAATCGCTTTCATGCGTCTCTACCTGACGCGCTGAAGCCGCACAGCGTGTGCTGTAATGCGCACGCGCAGGTAAGTTTTTTTTTTTTTTTTTTAAGATTTATGTGTATATATATATATATATATATATATATGTATATAATATTTTTTTAAAAGGAAAAAAAGGAAAGGGCTCCTTCACTCCACCGGATTTTTTGCCCCTTCATTGAAAGCCAACGGCAACTTGAGCAACTGTGGGTTGAGTGAGTTGCGTCACCTGTCCTAGCAACTCCGGGCTCGCTCCGCTCCCAGCTTCCGGCGCAGCCGCGCGCCTGCGTCACGGCTCGCGGTGCGTGCCGCCGGCCTGGGCGTCCGAGCTGCCGGCTCAGCATGCGGTGCGCGAGCCCCGCCGTCTGGGTGGCCTTTTGCGCCGGCCTTTGGGTCTCTAACCCAGTGCCGGCGCTGGGCCAGGAGGCCGGGGGGCACGCGGGGGCCGACTGTGAAGGTGAGCGGTGTGAGATCTGCTTGCATGGCGCTGGCCCCGCGCTGCATCGGCCCGCCGTCGGCTTTGGCTTTAGGCCGTGGCTATAAATAACGTCTCACTCAGAACACGCGGGCCCGGTCCAGTGTCCCGGCCCCTGCGCCCGTGCCCAGGCAGAGTTACAGGCTGGCCCGACTCCTGATGGCAGGCTAACGGCGTAGGCTAGGCTGGTGGGTTGGGATCGGGGTTCGGTTTTGTGCGGCAGGATTCAGACGACCGAGGTGCCGACCTGATGCAGCCGCTCCAGCCGGCGGACTGTGCCTCCTTGCGCAGGCCGTGTCTTTTTCGTTCAAATTAGATTGCAACTCCCCAATGGAAAATACAACATGACCGGTTGTAACTGAGTTGAGGTGGTTTACCTAAGGACCCTGAGGGCATGACGTTTGTTTTGTTAAGACTCCAGGGAAAAGTTACTTTACAAAGAAGTTATATTAACTTCTTAGAGGAGACTTACAGAAGAACGATTCCTTTTCAGTTCATACACTCTCAGCTGCGGACTTGAACACCTGCCCTCTGGCTCTGGTGGACATACCTGGTTCTGGCAGAAATCACTATGAGAATACCTCCTTCAGAGGGCTGAGATAAAAGCTGCACTGGCTTAATTCTCCTGCATTACAGGAACACCCCTATGTTCCGTTCATTGAAATAATTTAAATGTATATCCTCACCCTTCTGTTAGCTTGCACTCTATCATTCCTTAAGAGGAAATTGTAAATATACAGTATACAATTGAATGAATGGGTACACATTGTATTACAACTAAATAAAGCCTCGAAATTGAAACCCACTTTTTCTATTAGCCCTGCAATAATTAAACTTTTCTCCAGAAATTAAAAATGTCTACACGATGTATTAAAAAAAACTTTATGTAGATACTTAGCTAAGTTATAATTTTGTCCTATACATTAAATGCAGAATTTGTGAGGCAGAAACAATTGATTAGTCATCGGTAATTTATTTTCTGTAGCCTCTACCTAAAAACATATAAGAAGAACCAGAGCATCTGCATTAATTAAATGTGAAGCTTATGGCATCTTTCCTGAACTTACTATAGCATATTGTGATTATTAACTTGCATGTCTAACCTGGGTGTTCATTTCCTTTGTTTAAAGAAGTTATAGAATTTCAGCAAAGGAAATTCTAGTTTTAGAATTAAGAAATAGATTGTAGATCTGGTTCTCTTACTGCATATGAGTTTTTTATTACTAGCCACTTAATCTCCCTCAAAGTATAAGATTAAAATGCTATATGCACATTACAAGGCAAAGGTAAAATACTGATAGTCCATGAGCCACCTAGACCTATTGAAATGTTAAGTTTGCAAAATGTTTTAAAAAAATATTTAAACCAACTGGCTACTTTTAAAATTGGAAGACTTCATATTTAAAAATTCAGATTTCTGCCTTTTCTTAAAATTCAGGTGACCTGTTAAGACTAACCCCTATGTCCAAGTAGGGGGAACTGGCTGTGGCTGCTCTTTTTAGAAAGGACATGTGTTCTCCAGGAGTTGTTTCTGTCTTTCCTACTCGGATTTCTTTCACCCATTCATTTTACTTGCCTGAACCATGAGATTATTTAATTTTCTGACCCCTGCATTAATTAGGTCATATGAGGCTTACTGGAAAAATAGAAAAATTTTCAGATCTCATTAAAAACATGGTATTATGGTACAGCCATGGTAAAAAAAATAAGAAGAAGAAGAAGAAAAAAAGCATCATGAGACTAAAAAAAGCCACTCTTATTTTTAAATAATTTTAGATTTGTTTATGGGACTATTTTAATAATAATTAAAAAAAGCCCACATCAAATAAAAGAGCATGCTTATCTAGTTATAGCAATAAATACATGCCAGAAACTTAACTTACTAATTAGACAATTACTTTATGGTGAGGTTATTCTCTTCATGTAAGCCCAAGGAGTAAATTTCCATTCTTTTTTAAAAATAGGTATTTTATTGATTTTTTATATAGCGGAAGGGAGAGATAGTTAGAAACTTTAGTGAGAGAGAAACATCAACCAGCCGCCTCCTGCATAACCCCCACTGGGGATGTGCCCTCAACGAAGGTACATGCCCTTGACCAGAATCGAACCTGGGACCTTTCAGTCCGCAGGCCAACGCTCCATCCTCTGAGCCAAACCAGTTAGGGCAAATTTCCATTCTTACCTTGACTGTGGCATGGGACACCACTGACTTCTTTCTCTTTCAGAAACATCCTTCTTTTGATGACATTGATGCTGAATGCTTTTTTCTTGCCTTTACTTCCTGTCTCTGCCACCTTGTTCATGGTATCTTTCTGATTCTCTAGCTAAGTCTTCACTATTAGAATTTTCCAGAGTTCTGTCTTCTGCCCACTCCTCTTTTCTCATTCTACACACTTTTCTGTACAATCAGAATCCATCTAACTATAGTTTGGTTAATCCCAAATATTTATATCTAATCCTCCTCCTTTTGAGAGTCCCAGAACTTACATCCAATTGACTACTGGACATCCCCAAAGTCATCATCTCCCTTCTCAGTCCCCAAAACCTATTATGCTTGTGTCAATATCTACCTGGTAAACTAGACTAGACTTTTCTTCCTCCCTGATCCCTTATGCCCATCAGTCACTATGTCCATTTATTCTACCTTCTGGTTTTCTCCTTTCCCCTACCCAGCTCCATTGCCTTGTTACAGATATTCACCATTTATCTTCTTTCTTCCTTCTTGTCACCTTTCTTCCTCCTTTCTAGTCTATAGCAGTGTTATCATGCTACTCCCTTATTTAATATCTTTCAGTGGTCCACTTTCCCCCAGGTCTGTGTTTCTATATTTTCCCCACAGTATCCAATAGAATTCTCCTAGTGTTCAGTAATTGTTCTGAACAAAGGTATGTATATACACTGAGTGACCAGATTGATAGCGCGCGCGCGCGCGTGTGTGTGTGTGTGTGTGTGTGTGTGTGTGTGTATTACAGGCCCGGTGCATGAATTTGTGCTCAGGTGGGGTCAGGTAAGCCTGCCCATTGGGGAGGGAACATGGGCGGTTGGCCGGCCTGCCTGCTTGTCGAACTCCTGGTCCAGCGGGCAATTTGCACATTAGCCTTTTATTATATAAGATATACACTGAGTGGCCAGATTATTATGTGTTCAGAGATCCTAATAATCTGGCTACTCAGTGTATGTTGTTATCAATCCACAGTGGGGTCCAGTTAAAGAAATTCTGAAGTTGACTTTTGCCTTGAGAGCATTTGCTACCTAGCATTCTGAACTTAGGTTTTCATGGCTTTGGGTACATGGAAGAGAATAAAAAAGCGAAGACTCTCCCAAGTTAGAAGTGTAATACTAGGTCCTTTCCTTTCCCCTTCGCTAATTAATTTGGAACTCTAAAGAACTAGACCTTCATTATGAAAGGTAAGGGTGTGTGTGTGTGTGTGTGTGTGTGTGTGTGTGTGTAAGAACAACTCTACTACCATCTTCACAGACTAAAAAGGAATTGTATTACTTGAACTTTTTAAGTATTAACAGGAAACAAAAATACCTCCCAATAATTAATAATCACTAGCTAATCCACATATGGTGTGAAGCCCAAATTCATGTAAATATGGATGGTTCAAAACATTGTAAATAGATAATTTAAAGGAATTTCAAGCAAATATCAACAAATGCTAGTCTTACCTATAGGAATCCTCCTTCCACCTAGTCCTCAAATAATTCCCACACTGAAGTTCCAAGAAATAAAGCTTATATTCAGAAAAATGACAAACCCATAGAAAATAAAAGCACCATAAGTGATAGCCAGTTGAGTCTAGAGACAGAGAAACACACCAGAAAAGACTCAGGTATTGAAATTACTAGGGATCTATAACAATATATGCATAATATGGTAATTATGCTGGACAGCTGAATGACCTTCCGGATGAAGCCAGGGCTGTGAGGGCTGAGGCAAGCCACCACAACTGTGAGGGATGAGCCTTTTACACGAATTTCGTGCATCAGGCCTCTAGTAGAATATACAATGTTTACCATGTTTAAAGAAACAAAGGAAGGAATTGAAGATATAAAGGGCAGGAGGCAATTAATAAAAGTCCAACCATAGTTAAAGTAAAACCCCCAAACTTCTACAGGTAGAAATTAATGGGTTAACAGTAGATTAAACAGCTGAGAAAAGAATTAGTGAGTTAGAAGATTGAAGTAATTATCAAGAAGGAATCTTTGAGATATAAGAAAGAAAATTTATGAAAGGAAGATGAAGGTAAAATGAGGATACAAAGGAATTCTGACATAGGTTAACTGGACTTCCAGAAGAAGAGGATAGCTCAATTTTCCAAACTCATGGGTGACATGAATCCACAGATTGGGAAGTCCAATATGCCCCAAACCAAAGAAATAAGATTGTATGACTAATATCTAATCACATGATAAAGGAATTGGGAGGGGAAAAAGAGAAAATCTTAACCACAGAGAAAAAAGACTGATGACCTTCAAATGAATGGGGATTAAATTGACAGATGAATTAGCAATGCTTTAAAGGTTCAAGGTCCCACAGGTAGTAGGTAGTAAAGCCAGAATTTGGACCCGTGGAGGCTGACACCAGAGCCTGAGCAAAAGTTTGCAGGTTCAATTCCAAGTCAGATTGTGTATGGAAGGTAACCAATTGATATTTCTCTCAGATTGATGTTTTTTTTTTTTTTTCTCTCTTCCTCTCTCTAAAATCAATAAGCATATCAGGTGAGGATTAAAAAAAAAAGAATCATACTGGTTAGAATTTAGAATGTGAGTCAGTTTATAGCAATCCTCTGGCCAGGTGGTGCTACAAATGCTGGTGAAAAATTAAAATTATCATAAAAGAACCAAAGAGCTGGCAAAGACTGAATAGAACAAAGTGGAAAGGATAGCAGCAATTCTGAGAAGTCATTTTGCCTTGGGGACACTGGCCAGTCAGTGTAAAGGTGACCTTTAGTGTGAGGGATACAGAAGACTTCTTTTAAGTGGCAAATCTGTCTACTAGAACTCTTTCACATTAACCTGGCTTCTCCAAAGGATTTCTTTCTCAAATTAAGGTTAAATAAGTAGTAAACTTAGCCCATCCTTACTCATAAAAGATCATAAGGAAATTTTCCTTGATGCTGAGCAGGGTAGAAGAAAAGGAAAAGGAAAACATCTCTGAGAGATTATAACCACAAGATGTCCCTCACTTGAATTTGCAGTCAAAATTCACATCAATTCTCAAAAAACTTCAAAGTATCTTCTTAGTTTAATGAGGTCCCAGTTAGACCTGATAACTACAAACACAAATCCTTTATGGAAATAAGGCATCTTTATCTTAGGCCTCACATAATCTCCACAAATATGTTTCAAGGACTGTGGACATCATGCAGTACAAAATAACCAAGCACACAACAAAACAAGGCACCAGGAGCAAGAATCATAGAACAAAAAAAGAAACACGGTCATAAACTATTAGAGATCAGAATTATCAGACACAGATGATAAAACAATTATGCTACACAAGCGCGCGCGCTTGCGCGCGCACACACACACACACACACACTGAGTGGCCAGATTATTTTGATCTCTGAACACATAATAATCTGGCCACTCAGTGTATATCCTATATAATAAAAGAATGATATGCAAATTGTCCCCTTGACCAGAGTTCAACCAGCAGGCAGGCCAGCCAACTGACCATGTCCCCTCACCCTGGCCAGGCTAGCCAGACCCCACCCCTACACGAATTTATGCATATATATTGAGTGACCAGATTATTATGCATTCAGATATCATAATAATCTGGCCACTCAGTGTATAGGTTCAATGAAATTCCTATCAAAATACCAATGACGTATTTTACAGAACTAGAACAAATAGTCCAAAAATGTATATGGAGCCACAAAGACCCTGAATAACTGCAGAAATCTTAAGAAAGAAGAACAAAGTTGGAGGAATCACTACCTGATGTCAAAACTATGCTACAAACTTACAGTAGTCAAAGCAGCATGGTACTAACATAAAAACAGACATATAGATCAATGAAACAATATAGATCAATGAAACAGAAAAGGCAGCCCAGGAATAAATCCATGCCTTTATGATCAACTACTATTTGACAAAGGAGTCAAGAACATGCAATGGGATAAAAACTGTTTCTTCAATATTGATATTGGGAAAATTGGATAGAAATGGGCAAATAAATGAAACTAGGCCACCTTCTTACACCATATACAAGAATAAAGTAAAAATGGGTTAAAGACTTAAATATAAAAATTCAAAAGCATGCCGAAACCGGTTTGGCTCAGTGGTAGTAGAGCGTCGGTCTGCGGACTAAAAGGTCCCGGGTTTGATTCCAATCAGGGGCATGTATGTTGGTTGCGGGCACATCCCCAGTAGGGGGTGTGCAGGAGGCAGCTGGTTGATGTTTTTCTCTCATAGACGTTTCTAACTCTCTCTCTCTCTCTTCCTCTCTGTAAAAAAAGCAATAAAATATATTAAAAATAAATTCAAAAGCATAAAATTCCTAGAAGAAAGCATAGGCAGTAAAATATCTGACATCTCTCTTAGCAATATTTTTTCTGATATATCCTTAGGTAAGGGAAACAAAAGAAAAAATAAGCAAATGGAACTATGTCAAACTAAAAAGTTTTGCACAAAGAAACTATCAGAAAAAGAAAAGAAAACAAATGTACCAATTACACATCTGAAAATGGGTTAATATTCAATATTCAGAAAGAACTCATATAACTCAACACCAGAAAAGCAAACAATCCAGTTAAAAAAAGGGCAGAGGGCCTCTGGAGACACTTCTCCAAAGAGAGCACAGAGATGGTGAATATACATATGCAAAGCTGCTAGACATTACTAATCAGATAAATGTTAAATATCCCACAATGAGATATCACCTTACACCTGTCAGAATGGCTATCAATATATCAACAAACAACAACTGTTGGTGAGGATATGGAGAAAAGGAAACTTATGCACCGTTGGTGAGAATGCAGATTTGTACAGCCACTGTGGAAAACAGTATGGTGTTTCCTCAAAAGATTAAAAATGGACCCAATGATTCCACTTCTAGGTATATATTCAAAGAAACCCAAAACACTAGATTGAAAGAATATATGCACCAATATGTTTATTGCAGCATTATTTACAATAGCCAAGATATGAAACCAACACAAGTGCCCATCAATAGATGAGTGAATAAAAAAGTGGTGGTGCATATATAAAATGGAATAATACTTGGCCATAAAAATGGATGATATCTTCCTGTTTGCAATAGCATGGATGGATTTCGAGGGTATTATGCTGAATGGAATAAGTCAGAAAAAGACAAATACTATATGATTTCATTTATATGTTGAATTTAAAGAGAAAATAAATGAACAAACAAAATAGAAACATACTCATAGATACAGAGAAAAGACTAGTGGTTTCCAAAGGGGAAAGGGTTGGAACCCTGGGTGAACAGGTGAAGGGATTAAGAAGTCCAAATTGGTGGTTAAAAATCATCATGGGGATATAAAACACAGCATAAGAAATATAATTAAAAATCCTATCTAATAAGGAGGGAATATGCAAATTTACTACCACGCCATCACAAAATGGCAGTGCCCACAGCAGATGTGGGGTTTCCGTAACACAAGATGGCTGCACCCACAGCGAAGACTGAGTTCCCATAATGAGCTTTAACAAGCAATCAGCAGGGACCTGAGGTTTCGTCTCCATTCTGGCACTGGGCTGGGCGACCTGAGGCTGAGTCCTCCACCTGATGGGGCTTCATGGGGGATCTCAAGGTGTGTCCCCCACCTAGTGGGGCTTAACAGGGAAACTGAGGATGCACACGTACCCAGCGGGGCTTGACGGGTGTCCTCAAGGTGTGCCCCCCACCCCAGTGCTGGGCTGGGGACCTCAGGCTGCTCTTCCTGCCCTGGGCCAGGGGACCTGAGGCTGCACCCCCTGCCCCCCGCCACCAGGCAGGGGTTGATGGGGGATCTCAGACCACGAACCTGCCTTGTGGGGGCTTGATGGAGTATTTCATGGCATGTCTCCTGCCCTGTGGGGTTTGACAGAGGACCTTAAGGCATGACTCCCTGCCCAGCAGGGCTTGATGGGGGATCTTAGGTCGCATCCCCCATCCAGTTGGGCTTGATTGAGGACTTCAAGGTGCTCCCCCCGACCTGTCCCAGGCTGGGGGACCTTAGGCGGTGCCCCCCACCCCAGCACCAGGCCAGACTCAAGCTATGCTACCAGACCTGGCGCTGGGCCAGGGGACCTCAGCCAAAATTTGTAGGAATATTTTAATTTCAGGTGAAATTTGGTTCTGAAGATGGATTGATTAATTCTATAATCTCATATTACTCAAAACCCAATCCTAAACTAATAGTTACAGGCCCAAATCATTCTTCCTAAATTTTTAATTCATTGTCACAATACATTGAATCATACTTACATTTTTATTTGATGAGTAGGACATATACATATTGTAGTAGTGGTTATCTTGTATATAAATACATAACTTCTTTGTTCTTTCTAGTATGTGAAGAATTCTTGAACCGATTCTACAATTCCTTGATAGCCAGAGGAATTAACTTTTCTCTGGACACCATAGAAAAAGAATTGGTCAGCTTTTGCTTGGGTGTCAAAGGAAAAGAAAACCGCCTGGTATGGTATATTTTCACCTTGTACTTGAGGGAAAGTGCTAATACTTACATTTCTTATGTTGGATTTAATGTCCTCCTGATTATGCTGGCCTCAGGCATGTTCACTGTAGAGAGCAAGCAAAAATTGATCATCCAGTGAAATGCAGTCATATGAATTTTCATCTAGAATACATCTGATTTAATTTTACTTTTGGACAAACCACAGACAACCAAGCCCATATTTTCTCAGTAAAATTATACAATTGAGTGTCTAATTGAGAATTTACTATCCTGAGTTAAGAATGGATAGACTTTCTATTTCTTACCGAGGCAATTATTAATAGTTCAACCTTTCCAAATATTTTATATTATTATTTATACATAACCAATGGAATTTTCATGTAATGTTATTTGTATAATATTTCCTGGATACACACAAATGACTTTTTAAATAAATTGGTTTATATCACTAAAAACAATCTTCGGGCAATTCCTTTTGCCTAAAATGGTCATGTTTAACTTCCAGTTAAAGTTGCATTGTAGACAGCTTCACCTCTGGCACATTTAAAACTCTCAGCATTTATTTGTATCATTAAGTTTTATGTTTTTAAGTGTGAAATGCTTAAGTCGGGTAGCTTGAAAGGTAGTATAACATGAAAAAGTGCACTGACTGTAGAGCCCAAATGCTAGATTTTTTAAAAAATGTAACCTCTTCTACTTGCTAGCTGAGTGACCTCAGTTGGCTTGAGTGTGAAATGGGGATAATAATGTACTTACTGCACAGGATTGTTGTGAGAATTAAATAAGTCAATATGTGTAAAGCCCTGAGAGCAGCACCTGGCACAAGGAAAACACACAGCAAGCCTTGGAGCATCATGTGACCTCTCGGGCACATCTAATTAGGATGATCACGGGAATGCAGTCATTTGTTTTCTGGTGTCTTAGCACGACTCGAAATTTAATAGTGGGGCCATGAAAACTAGGTTAACCTCTTTCTTTCTTTTCAAAACCTTATCACTTGCTTATCTCAGTGTCTGGGCCACTAAGTTTTCTTCATTCTCCATCAGTGCTATTATCTAGGAGCAACAAAAGATGCAGCCACAAAGATCCTAAGTGAAGTCACTCGTCCGATGAGTGTGCACATGCCTGCAATGAAGATTTGTGAGAAGCTCAAGAAGATGGACAGTCAAATCTGTGAGCTGAAATATGGTATAATGGAGTCAAGTCTTTTTTTTCCCTAGGATGTGTGAAGTATTGCCAATTCTCAAAACAGGCTATTTTTCTATAAAGTCACTTGTTAGAAGGAAAGACATTCTCTATTTGTCATTATGTTGTTAGGCTGCTGAATGATATTTAATGCCACTTGATCTTTTTTGGGGGTAAGAGAAATAAATATTGGCACAATGAGGTGTAGGTAAAACTGTTATCCCAACTAGGAGAGTTTAAGCTCTTAAATCACCAAGGCAGTGTCAACTGTGTATGTCAAGGAAAACTCCAAAATATCGGGGGAACAACTACTCATGGTAATTCAGCTCTTGGCAACCTATTAAGGAAAGTTGCATCTATTCAAAGATTCAAAGGTGATGTAAAAACTTCGAAGTTTTAAATGTGTGTGCATCTTTCCCCTTAGATTTGCCTATTATTCTGCCAGCTTTAAATTTTGGTAAATAGATAATTCACTTCAAATCAGGTTTTGCCAATGAAATAACCTTATTGAGGGTGCCTAAAATAAACAGTGAGGAAAGAAAGATATTTAAATAATTATCATTGACCTTATATATTTTACATAGATAAATCTATTCTTATACTGAATCTTTCTTACTGGGCCAGTCTTTTATGGTAGATTGAGTAGGTTTGATAAATGCTGGGAGGATTCCTCCCTTAGCCTAGCCTTACTACCTGAAATTCCACCAATAGAGACCCATTTCTTTTGTTCAAGTCATTGTTTTATGTTACATACCAGTGTAGTATTGTAAACTACCTAATTAGCACCCAGTTCCAAATTATTTTTCAACATAGCTGTGTAATATGTCTATGGACCATAACTATATAGCTGGCTTTAAATAGGATTAAGTTAGAAGGTATCAAAAAAAAAAATGCCAGGTTTCTCAATTTGCCAATGGCAGGCCCAACTTCCAGGGTAGTGATTATGGGACAGGCCTCCCTTTTTATTGGCTTTCAAGTAATGAAGTAGAGGCAGGAATCACTGAGTCCATAGAAACAATAGTCTTGAAAGGGACAAACCTAGGCTGAATCTTTAATTCAATACCTTTATTTTGAATATCTTCTATTATGTGCCAGAGATGTTACTAGGTTCCTTGAATAATAGAAAAATTAGCATATATTATTAAGAAATGAGTATTTACTAGTATTTGGGCAATGGTGGCCACTAGAGGCCCTTGGGAAATCATGAACTAGTTTTGATTTTAGTATCAACCTTTTTTTTTTTTTTTTTTTTTTTTTAGTTTTGGGGTGTCATAGAGGTTTTCCATTTTTAAAATTAATACCAGATTCCAAGTTCTTTAGAAAAGCTCAAGGAAACTACTGACACTTGAAAGAAAGTATATTTCTCCTTCAATCATTTATCTTGAATTGACCACTAGTCATAATTTTTTGTTCCCTACTTATTGTTGGCAAGAAAGTTGAGATTGAACAGGGGCCTTTGAGTGGGATATTAATAATTTGGGCTATAAATGCTTCTACTTTTAAAGGAATTCTTCAAGTCACCCATGCCAGTATGATCAAGGTAAGTGTACAGTTGGATATGTTTTCAATTAGGAAGGTGTCATTTGGCTTTTGACCTGAAATAATATTTTTTCTTGTTCTGTATCTTAAAAGGATGGGGATCACTATAAAAATGTAAGGGTGGCTGACCCTTTCATCTGTATTTGACCCTCCAAATAAACAGTGCTTTAAAATCCAACTTTTATTTTTGAGATTTAATTGACTTAAAACATTGTATAAATTTAAGGAAAATTACTCCTTTCTGATAGGGGAATTATAATCATAAGTATATTATAGGTAAGCTTAACTTATTTTTCTGCTTTGGGGCTTGACAATAGAGAAGCAGTTGAGTCTTAACATTCTCCGCAGACAATTTGTGAAAAGGGAAATGGTAGTCTTGCTAAAGGAGTTAAGATGTTGGTGACAAGTATTATTGGCAAGAATGTTAGAAGCTAGGTTGGCTGGCACTGAAGCAGCAGCATAGAGAAGTGGGTATCCCCCAAAGGACTGTAATTGAATGCTGTGATAAATTAGTAATTCCAGTAGGGGTGGGAGATCAGACGAAGTTAAGCAAAAACAAATAAGGATCAATAAAAATGCTCCTAAATATATTCACGTGTTTGAATTTCTATATATTTGTATTTAAAGATTTTGTAGTGCTTTGTAAATGAATGTCTGTTTTACTGAAGACACATCTTTATATAAAAAGTGAGCCATAACTTTCTAGTTATTTATGGCCTATGGATTTCAGCTGGCCACACACGGTTTGTCCCAAGGCATCCCTTTTTATTGGTTTCCTTCTTTTACCTTAGGAGCAGCAATTAGAATCTGTGCTATTATTTTAGGATTGTTGATCTTGAGAAGGCATGGGGCGGTAACAGCAATTTTGAAGCCCCCGTTTTGAAGCAAGTATAATTCCATGGAGAGAAAGTCTGATGGAACAACTTATCCCACTAGCTCTGTATATATACACTTTCTTTAGGTTCTTTTTTTTTTTTTTAATATATTTTATTGATTTTGTACAGAGAGGAAGGGAGAGAGATAGAGAGCTAGAAACATCGATGAGAGAGAGAGTCATTGACCAGCTGCCTCTTGCACACCCCCCACTGGGGATATGCCCGCAACCAAGGTACATGCCCTTGACCGGAATCGAACCTGGGACCTTTCAGTCCCCAAGCCGACGCTCTATCCATTAAGCCAAACCGGTCTCGGCAACTTTCTTTAGGTTCTTGATTTCCATAGAAATTGGAACTGTTCTCCACATTGGATCATAAGGTTGCCAGCACCCAGATTAAGTAACACCATTTGCCTTTCTAAATGTTTCAGAGTTGTTTTTTAAAAATTGTGTTTTTCCTTTTTGACATTTAGAAAAGAAATTAGACTTAACATCAGTGGACCTATGGAAGATGCGAGTGGCAGAGCTGAAACAGATCCTGTACAGCTGGGGAGAAGAATGCAGGGCCTGCGCGGAGAAAGCCGATTACGTGAATCTGATCAAGGAGCTGGCACCCAAGTATGCAGCAATGCACCCCAAGACAGAGCTCTGACCCTGGAATGCTGGGGCACCATTGGTTGTAATTAGAGGCAAAATGAGTCCCTAGGATATGGATGAGTTGACTGAGAGTAATCAGGAATTGCACTGTGCATTGTCGAATACATTTTGTTTTTGATATGACACTTCAGGACTGGTTGCTTGGGTTTGTAAGTAAAACTATTAATATTAATGATATCTTACATTTTCAGTGTACCAAAACCTAAAAGTGCTTTTCTCATAGATTTCCTTCTAAGGATTGTGTAAATGATCATTGGCTATCTCCTAAAATTGGGGAAATCGAACTATTGAAAAATTGGTGTAGTAAATTCATCCTAAGAAGGAGAATAATGCTCACAGATCCCTCTCTGTGAACAAATATTTAATTGAATGGATTGGATTAGGACAAAAGGAACAATGTTTAGCTTATTAACTCTACACTTCAACTCAATAATAACCTGGCATAATAAAAAAAAAATTTTTTTTAAGTAAATTGTATTTTCAACTGCAAGTTGTCCTACTTTCTAGTTCTTCTGATATCAGAAATTAGAGGGCAGGAGGCACTACTTGAAATCAGAGTCTCTTATAAGAAGAAAACCTATATAAAACTTCTTTATAGCTCCTTAAAGGAAATAGATTAAGAATCCAGTTAAGTGTAGTCAATGTTTTAGCAAATTGTATCAACACAAGAGAACAAAACTCAAGGTCTTTTGCATACCTTTCTATTACACAGTAGGTAAGCTTTCGATAGAGTATTAAGAGCACATGCAGGCAACATGGAACTTTATGGTTCTCAGTACTATTTTATCAGCTTTAAATTGTAAAAATAATTTTTGGTTCCATTTTCGGTCACATAAGAAGGAGATCTGGTGTAGAAGTGGCTGCCTCTGTGTGGCAGGTGGAGGTGGGGAATGACTGCAGAGCAACTTGAGAGAACTTTCTGGGGTGATGGGATGGACCCCCTATGCTTAGATAGTGGTTACATGGGTGAATATTGTTAAACTCATATGGTAGTAAAATGAAGATCTGGGTATTTTGTTATATGTAAATTATATCTAAAATACTGTTGTAGAAGAACTATTTGGAAAGTAACTAAAATTAAATGATTCAAAACTTCTTGTGCTTTTAAAGAATTGCAATTATTGACTGGGAGTCCTTTTGCGGGGTGGAGTCCTCAGTGGTCTGGGGCTGAGTGGGCTTAGAATGTGGATGGAACGTGGATGTGAGATCAGGTATCTTTAGGACAGTTTTCATTCCTTATATGGTCTGATTCCTGGTGTTCAGCAAGTTTTTCCTGGTCTTTGTTTTCCTGTAGTGGGAAGCTTACAAATGGCTGTTAAGGATTCTATTGTCTTATAGTCCTAACACTGTTTTCTTTAGTGCATTTTGAACCTACTGAGAAAGTTGTTATTTGAAAAAATATTGACATCTGATCTCAAAATCAGGTCATATTTCTTAGGTTCTTTTTCCCCCCAGGTATAAATCTAGTAATAAGAATATTGCCCAGCAAGTCATTCAAATCCATGCTATTTAGTCTAGTTTCTCAAAGGGAATTTAATCTAAGTCAGTGCTACTCAAACTTCTCAAACTATGCATCCAGATCACCTGGAGATCTTATTAAGATGGGGATCTGGAATTAGTAATGAAAGGGCAGGGTGGGGCGAGGATGAGCTCCCGACTCCGCCCCACAGGGCGGAGTTATCCCTAGCCCTCACCCAAGCAATCAGGGTTAGCCGAGGCAGTGATATCACCACCCACTGGAGTAAAACCCCTGGATTGGGAGAAATTGGCTCTCTTCTGCCATGCTGCCGGCGTGAGTGGGAAGAGCCCATGCTAGCATGGAAAAGGCTCTTTTGTTTATTGCATTGGACTCGGCTCCCTGGTGGTCCTTGGGGATCACGAAGTCTAGGCGTAACAAGTAGATCTTGGAGGGGCCTGAGCCTTGGCATTACTAGCAAGGCTTCAGTGATACCCAGGCTGCTCTTCCAGGGACCACATGTTAAGTAGCAAGAGCCTGAGTCATGGATCCTGTGATTTATTTTTTCCTTCTGCCAGTTCAATCAGTTAGGTTTATGATAGAGCTGAATACAACCATAATAACAAAACAACAACAATAAAATCACAAGCATTGATTCCTTCATGTAAAAGTAGTCCAGAGGTAGCCAGTCCAGAGTAAATATGGCACTTCTAGAAAGTTCTGAGGGACTCAGCTCTTATCTTTTTGCTTCATATCCTAGTTGTAGGTTCCATTTTAAATCCTGGCCCAGTTGGCTGCTGGAACCCTGTTCCAGAAGGCAGAAGGCATGAAAAGACTGCCTCTGCACAGAGTCAGCCTCTTTGGGGCAGCCTTTCCCCTCCTCACCCCTTTTCATGCTATTTGCTTTTTCATAAATATAGCCAGTTATGTCTTCTTTTTTTCATTTGTCAAGAAGTAGCAACTGTTTTTCTATTTTATTTTTATTTTAAATTCCTCTCTCTCTCTCTCTCTCTCTCTCTCTCTCTCTCTCTCTCTCTCTCTCTCTCTCTCTCTCTCTCGTGTGTGTGTGTGTGTGTGTGTGTGTGTGTATGCATTTTTGGTGTGCTTTTACCCAAAATCTATAAATACATAGATCAAGAAGTCAGACATTCTGACAGAAATGACAAAACTCTGGACTAAGACTTGCATTTAAACAGCAGTGGTTTGGGTCAGACTTTATTCCTGATCTACTCTAAATTTCTAAAGTTCGAAGCAGACAGCCTTTACTTTGTTTCCTAAATACACATGGGAGACTAGATATAACATTTGGGGCACAGTTTAAAGGTTGTAGATCTTTAAGTATGGATATCTGTAACCCACATTCTACCAAAGAGGGTTAAATTTAGAACAAAGTAGCGGCATGTAGAACAAGAAAATATTTGACCATGAAATCCCTAAAAAAGAGCAGAGCATTTTGTGATCCAGAGGCCCTATCTGTGAGCTTGAGCAGCTCTTGATAACATGTCTTCTAGCAGATATTTGAGTTTATCCATCGACTCTCATTCAGAAGAAATGATTGTCAGGTGCCCATTCTTTTATAGTGTGTTTGAAATAAAATAATTCCAGCAAGAGAGAACTTGGAGAATGAATAGTACATATTATTATAATATGTTTTCTGGGTGTGGTTTTTTTTTTTTTTTTTTTGTATGCTTTTCATCTACAAAAGTTTGAGAATTTGGATTGTGCTGGCATCCCTGGTGCTGAATTTCTAGAGCTCACCAGGATTTAAATTAAAAAATTTAATGTGTGAGACTGATAAATTAAAATTTTAAATGTGATATTGCTGGAGGTAAGGTTGTTAGTGTTAGTGAAGTGGATCAGTTTTAAGGCAGTTTTTTTTTTTTTTTAAACTTAGGTGATTTCCCTATGAGGCTTCCTAGGTGCTGTCTACCGTGTTTCCCCGAAAATAAGACATCCTCCGAAAATAAGACCTAGGCATGGAAAGATAAGACATCCCCTGAAAATAAGACCTAGCGCAACTTTGGGAGAAAAAATTAATATAAGACACTGTCTTATTTTCGGGAAAACAGGGTATATATCCAATTTGCCAGCCCCCTGCCAGCGGTGCTATTTTCTTGGTGTGTTAAGCTCAGCCTACCCAGTTGGGTTTTCCAAAGTTTTATGGTTGACCCTGCAAGTTAACATACCTGCTCTGGCAAGTTGAGCATGTTCTGTGAACATATCCCTGTTTATGAAAATACTGTAGATTAGTTGAATTATACTGTGGAAGAGATGGATTAATCAGTATTTAGAACAAAAGAAACAAAAAGAATGCATAAGGACATGGAATAGAGGTCCACATCCATTACCAAAATACTTGGAGCTAGGTATTCTTGGAATTCATAACATTTTTCAGGTTCTGAAAGGATACTATGGTGCACATACTAAATATTTTATAGGCGCTTGGGCCAGCATCCTGTAACACTCTTCCATAAATCCAGACCAGGCTTTGTCAACAGAAGTCAGGTCGGGTTTTGCTTGTCAAAGAATTACAGAAAAGGAACTTTTTATTTTCAGATCTCTTTGGGTTTCTGAATCTTGGATGAGAGATTGTGGCTCTGGTGACTCCAGTTTGGGTGTTATTAATCATTAAGTAAGACTTTGGGCCTCCTTAGAACCTCTCTACCTCCCATGGACTAGTCTCCCACAGACAGGACTTCCTTCTTCTAGAAAGGAGTTGAAAAGCAGCTGCGGGGGCCTCAGAGGATTAGGACTCCAGGTGCCTGCTCTTCCCTCTTGGGCTACAAGCATCCCCTGAGCATAGTGCAGGATGGACATAAATATCCATAAATATCCACCGAGAAAATGTGCACACCATGTTGTTTCCCATTCAAACAGGTGGGTCAGCTGAAGTTTCTCCTCTTCAGGTCATGACAACGAAGCAGCAGAAAGGAGTATCTGCTCCCCCTTTCTGCAACCACCACCTTGAAGACTTTTCTCATCAGACGGAAGGCCTGCTCAGCCTTTGCCACCAGCTGTCTGGTAGTTGCTGTAGCTGCAATGTTTACAGGAGCCACAGAAGATGTTTACAGGGCTCTTGCCTTTTTTCCTTTTAAATTTTTAAAAACCTGTTTTGGAAAGAAAAGATCAAATGTTGGCTCCTTAGTGACAGAACAGCTATATATATATGTTCTGAGGGATCTTGGTCTGTGCAGTTTTTAGCAGGCAGTGAACTTGCTCACATGATAGATACTATCTCAGAATGTGCATCTATCTCAGTAATTTAGATGTTCTCACTCCTGATTCTTCTATTGTCAGCCAAATATTTACTTCTTATATATCTATTCCTTCTCAGTCCTAAATTAATACATTCCTTGTTTCTCTCAGAAAGCAGTCTGGAGTTTTTTCCTTTCCAAATTATAATCAAATGTAAATATTTTTGCTTCCCCAGAAAGTCTAGTGTCACAGCACCTTGACCGTGGGCTGTAGTGCTCACGAGCCTGCTTCAGACCCATTAACAAATGACCTTTGCAATCCCCTTTGCTTTCTATAACGCTGTT